TTGTGACTCTCGTGACGCTTCGGAATATTACTAGAAACAAAACGCTTATACCCCCCTTCCGCATTCTATTAATACAATATAATAATAATAATAATATTTCTTCTTTTTACACAATTCAACCCTTGAGCTACCCTAATACAATATCAATTAAGTATCCTTTAATTGTTTTTTAAAGCGACAAATAGTCGGGAGTTCTTTAATATCAATTGGAACGTCCTCCAGGCTTTAAGAGCAGAGTAGTTAAAACTTTTTTTCACATGCTCTGTATTTGTTCTAGGAATATTCAGATCCCTACAGTACCTTGTTTGATTGCGAGGATCTTTGCTGAAACTTATCCCAAAGGCTTTCTGGGCTCAATTTCTGCATAATCTTATAAGTCATGACCGATCGATCGAATCGAATGAGATTTTCAACGCTCAACCAGTTACATGTCCAGTTTTCCTTTAATTTGGCGCTTTCAATTATTGACCGAGCGCGGTCCTGCAGACGTTAGAAGGTATCAAGTTTAGTTTTTGGGAGGCTGCCCCAAATAACGTTAGCACACCGTAAGGCTTAATTAAATTACCCGCAAACATTTGAAACAGTAGATTAGATAAAATCTCAGAGGATGTAATGTTGTCCACCTGCTCAAGGCAAAAATAGTCAAAAACTCTAGCGGAACAGGTCCACTTATGCTTTGCGACTAATTTTCTAAAACAGGCCTAATATTGAACGGCTGGTAAAAACAAAATACAGCCCATACCATCTTGTGTAAAACAACAGCTACCGCAAAGCATGCCGGTTGCGCAAGAGCCTTTAATGACGAAGATTGTTTCTTGCATGCCTAAAGAATTGCAGTCTACTACAGTGTGAACGCTATCTGTCAAGATACATCAGCAGGACAAAACAGAAAAATATACGCACCACAAAGGAGCCATGGAGCAGAAACTGTCTTTTGAATAAAGCAACTTCAAAGCTTCAGGATGAAAAAACCCAGTGCAACAAAATTGTCACACAAAGACAGCTTCTACTTAAGATTTATGGCAATAAATTATTGATCGTGTCTTTGCGAAATTTTCCGGCTCTTTGCAAATCTTCTACGGAAGCCATTATAAGACGAACGGCCATCTGCAAAGTCACAGGTCTAAATCGGTTATTGCTCTTTTGCTTTGGCGGCAAAATGCCGCTAGATATACCGGCATTTCACCTTGATCGAGTTTTACTCAAATCTCATGTACGGGTGACAGATGTACACAATGCCATACAGCGGAAAAGCGTATACTTAGGGTGAGATGAATTAAATGCAGAAAAGAGTATGGCCTTTTTATTTGTTTGAAATTCACACTTCGAAATACAATATATGCTTATGATAAATGCAGCGAAGTGTTGACGTCCAAAAATACATATGCCTATCATATGGGAAAGGCCAAAACTTCATCCAGTAGAAATAGTTAAATGTCTGCATAGGAAACGGGGATCAAGCAAAAAATAGTGCAAACGATAGTAAAAAAAATGTGCCTGCTCTAGTTTGCAGAAATGGGTAAGGAGCATATCTCTATGGTAAGGAGACAGAGGGTACCCCCTTTTCACTAGCCTGTGTTCCAGACCCCTAACTTGAAAGTTGGGGGTTTGGAGCACAGGCTACTTTTCACCCACTGTGTGCTAGCTAGTTTGATGTAAGGGGATAGCCTATCATTCTATGGCCTATCATATACAACAAAGCCGGTGAAATGTGAGGCGCTTCTAGGGAAATAATGTCTGCATAGAAAAAACAAAATGATGATAATTTTCAACACATAGCGACTTATCTTTATGTGCTTCGAAATTGGAAGATATTTTTGAATATGAAATAATGGACAAATTGCAGGATGAAATATGATACAAAGTAGATATTCGCAAAGAAGAACCCTCAAATTTTAACCTACAGATTGTCTTTCTTCCATTATTTCCATTTACCTAAGAATCTTTTTTAGGCTGAGAAATATCTAAGATAAATCTTGATCAAGGAGCATTTTTACCTTCTGTCTGCGATTTTGAAAATTCGAGTTACAAACTCCCCAAAACTCTGAATTGTTCATTTTGAAGCAATAGTTCTCTCAGAAAAAAATGAATTTCAAAAATCTTAATTTTTGGCATTTTCATCATCCAAATGCAAGGAATAGATCTTTTAAAATAAGAACTTCTAACCCTGAAAAGAAACAGAAACCCACGCAGAAATACGCCTACAAACAATTTCTATAGGAAAGAATCTGATAGGGTATGCTGGGGTAGATAGTGGGGGTCAGAGGGGCGAAAACCCCCTGTAAAGCTAAACTGCCATTTTGTCGGAAAATTTCTGACCTTGTCGGAAAATTAACGATTCTTCATGCAAGATTTTATATGTCACGACTCTATGGTCGAAGGAGGTCAAGGACTTTACAGGGAGCCATTTGTAAGCCCATCCGTCCTTATACATGGCATTCGCTATTAGCCTCTTTGCTCTTGTCTGTGAACGTTGCAGTTGGAATAGTTTGGTGTTGGAGAGAGCACTCCAAACAATGTTGCCATAGCGAAGATAGCTTTCAAAGAGAGCTTTGTAAACTTTATAAAGTTTCCTTTGCGGAAGGATGTTGTTCAACTTTCTTAAGGAGTTCAAGCCCCCTTTCAACATTTTTTTGACAGTTTTGAACTGCTCTCTCCAATTAAGGCTTTCGTCGATGTTGATTCCCAAGTATTTTGTTTTGTCAACCCTTTTGATAACTTCATTATCGAGGACAAGGTCTGGCAAATCATTGCCTACTTTGTTTAGTTATCGCCTATGGCCTATAACCAAAAATTCACTTTTGCTGGTGTTCAAACTAAGCTTGTTAATCCTTATCCAATTCGATATATTTTCCAGCTCGTTTTTCAAATTTGTGAGGAGTTCATTCAGGTTTTCTGACGCGATATTCAAACTTGTATCATCAGCATACATACTTGGGATCGAGGTTTTTAGACAATTCTCAAAATCATTTATGTATATTATGAAGAGTAAGGGTCCCAAGCACGATCCGTGTGGAATACCACACTTAATGCTGCTTTTGCTCGAAGTGGATCCGTCAAAAAAACAGAATTGCTCCTTAGTGGTCAGATAAGAAGACGATGGTTGTTGGTTTCTTGTATCTATGTGTTTTAATTTCAAAGGAAGGATTTTTTTGGTCTACTTGAAAAGTTATATGGTTTTTTATGGCAAGCCCCAAGCGAATTTTAGAATTGCACAAAGAGCAAGAAAGAATGAACAAGAAGAAGTAAATGCCAAAAGCTATTTCAGATAGTCGCTGGTCAGCGAGTGCGAGTGCTGTAGAAAATGTAAAGGATAACTTCAATTGTTATGTCGGGGGCCTTGATTACTGGCAATGAGCTTGATGCCAGGAGCCTCGCCGATGCTGAAGGTATCATGAAAACCATCATGAATTTTGATTGTCTGATATTGTTATACTTGTGGTTTGACATTCTCACCATAACAAAGGCAGCAACAGACAAATTTCAAGTGCAATGCTAAATGTTGGCGTTTCATGTCAGATGATTAAGAGCTGTGTGCAGCAGTTTTTTTCTATGAGAGCATAAACATTTGGAAGAAATTATAAAGAAGGCTGAAAACCGTAGTGCTTCTTGGAAAATTAGAGCGGAATTTAAAGAGAAGAGAGATTTAAGACGCAAAAGGTATCATGAAAAAGATACAGTAGATGATCCTGTTGTAGACGAGAAGAGAAGATTTAAGATTGAAGTTTACAACAATTTTTAGCAACACAACTGCAGGAGTTTTGAACCTTCAACATCTGACTTAGAGGATCTTTACACTTAAATGCGATTCTTTGAAAAATATCTCACCTCTCCAGAAACAGTGTCTCGAGAATATGTAGATCTTTTCCCTGTTTTAAACAGTTAGGAATTCAACGAAGGTGGAGCAATCCCAAAAGATCACCTAGATTTGCTGCAATTTCTGAAAAAATTTAACCTGAAACCGTATTTTTAAAATATAGCGAAGTTAATGCGTCTAACGCTCACTCTCCTAGTTTCATCAGCCCATGATTAAGGAGCGATTAGCTGCTTGAAACGAGTGAAAACGTACTTGAGAAGTATTATGTCTGAGGATCGACTTTCCAACCTTGCATGTGAACAACCTTGCACAATTAACAGAGAAACTTTTGCCCAAATTGATTTGAAAAATTTGCAAATGTCTTTTTTAGGGGACGAAGATGAGAAGATTATTTGCGTTGAACGATTAATAAAACTTGCTTTGAATAAATTATAAAAGTTTATCGTCAGTTTAATTTTAATTCTAATCGCCTTACGTTATGTGCAGAATATTGAAAAATGAAATTTTTTATCAAATTTTGGTCGGAAAATCAAATTTCTTGCCCCCCCCCTATGAATTTTGCTATCTACGCCCCTTGCCTTTGCTCCCTTTCGTATATTTTACTCCAATTTGAATGGAATACAGTTGACTCCGGGCATAGTCGCGCACAAAATATTTACTGAAAATAGGTGGCTGAATTAGAGTTTAAAAGTAAGCGGAGCTTAATTGCATAGCTTTGTAGGTTTGACTGGAAGTTGGAAGTGACTACAACCACCCATGATACTTTGGGCGGAGTGAAAATAACTGGACTTGATAAGCCGGAGTGGCAATAACTGGACACGATAGACTAGACTGGCTGTAAGTGGACACGACAAGCCGGAGTGACAATAACTGAACTTGATAAGCCGGAGTGGCAATAACTGGACACGATAGACTAGACTGACTGTAAGTGAACACGACAAGCCGGAATGACTGTAACCGTAAATGACACATCGGAGCGACAGTTCAGACATGATACACCGGAGTGACAGTAACCGGACACGACAAACTGAAGTGGCTGTAGCCAGATTGGGAAGGGCAGTAATCGGACACGACGAACCGGTTAGACCATAACCGGAATTGAGTAACTAGTGTGACTATACCATCAAACGCAAATTTATTTTGTGAATAATCTGAATTCACTTTCCAAGCTTAAAGGACTGACCTATTTCTTTGTGGCTTCCTTGTTGAATCATCTTTAACTTTTGCTTGAACTTTCGAGGCTGGAGGCTTTGTTCTGCGCTTCTTGGCTTGGATAACTTTGACTGGAAAAAATAAATCTCATTAAATTTTTGTTCAAGTGCGTACGGTACATAAAAGGTTTTCCTTGTAACATAAGTTTTTATACGCAGCTGCAGGAAATCAAGTGCTTGGGTCCAGTTTTGCACATATTTCACCCTAACATTAGCTGAAAATAATGTTCCATAAAGTTTATGAATCAAAGAGACTATGAGTATTTAATGATATCAAAGTACACAGTACTGGTTTTCTGTAAGTAGGAATGCAATAGTAATAGATTTAGCGAATAAGCTTTCTGTAAACATTATTCTCTAAAATACAATGTAAATCAGGATATGCATACAAGGACTAGGAAAACAACAACATCAGCAGGGTTCTGTGAGCTTTTACAAACGGCTCGATAAGTAAAGCACACACAGGTTTTTCTGTGTTATATATTCTTTCTCTCTTTTAAAAGAAAACAGTGACTACAGAACAAGCAGTAGTGTAGCAAGGGACCAAAGAGGGGGGCCACCAAATGCTCAGAAAGTTAGTGTCTGAGAAAAGTGCAAAACTGCAATAAAATTAGTACCTCAGGGGGGAGGGGTTGATATCAAAGGCAAAGTTAAGACGTTTTAAACGACTGCAAGCCAACGACTGTAAGAAAAATTCTGAAATGTATTTTAAGTTAATCTAAAAGGCGTGGTCGTAAATATTTCATTGAGCATCACAGAATGTTTTACAATTTCCCTCGTTTTAAGGTTTATATAGAAAAGTCCTCCACATCCATCAACATTTCCGATAAAATAGAAAAAAAAGGTTAAGCACTTCAATTCTTAAAAAAATGAATCTGAAATAGTTGCAGAGGGTTTTGTAGACTTTGCTCCTAGAAAAACGGACTTTGAAATATTTGAATACTGTTACATGCAGATATTTGCTTAAAACTTTGAAAGATCAGTTTTTACACATACAGCTTCCTCGCCTGGCACGATTCAGAATATAAACAGACCGGTAGACAGCTGTAGTCTGGGGTCAGCAACAAAAAGCTTTCAAGATTGTTACGTATTTTTTTATTAGCCAACCATTGCCACGTAAAAAAGCCAGAGCTTTTCTAAACGCATTTACGAAATTCGGCGTTCTCCAAAACTCTTAAAGGTGTGATCAGCAAAAATTTTCTGTGTAAAGCTAAGCTTTTCTCTTCAAGTCATTATCATTAAAGATGCAGCAAATTATTTGTTCATCTATTAGGACAATTACTGAAACTCACACGATTTGGCAAAAAGTTAAGAAAAATATTATTTTACTCTGCATGATAAAAATATCTACTTCTTATTGAAAGAAGAAAGTATTATTAAGCGTCATGGTTATTCTGGTTAAAATTGACCGACAAAGGGATTCTAGCCAAAACTGCTCAGCAATTGCTGAAAAATTAACGGCAATACTGAAGGACGGTCTTGGTTGAAAATATTTTGCTTAATAAAATGAACACCTCTTTGGCCCTCCAACCTTCCAGCCCTGGCTATGCCACTGCACGGAAGCAGAGGGCTGATGGGGCCTAACCCCCAATAATTTCCAGAATTGCTCTTGGTTTTAGCATGTTTAGCCCCCCTATAAAATGTACATCAATTTCTGTTAATAAAAGCAGTTTCAAAATTGTAGGAGATATAAAATTTGTCTCAGACAAGTTACTGATTGTTAAAATGCAAATTGAAACATTTTACTCGCGTGGCTCACTTTTTAGTTCGAAAGCAGCAGTAGCCGAAGTCTTCACACTAGAATTTACCCTATTATCGACACAACATTTTACCAGCACAACGAAAACATATAAGAAATGGAAGGCAGGAAATATCTTCATAGAATAAATACTAAATTAACAGATTAATCAGGCAGGGAGGGATCCCTAGTTAAATTGAAAGTCAAAAATGATTTAACCAGGCCTGTTCAGTTGTGCACTGGGAGTCAAAAAAATTTTCTTTTGGGGGTGGGGGCTGAAGTTGAATTTTGAATGTATGAAAACAAAAAAACTGTTTTCAACCTTGCATTTACTTTACTATTCTGTGAAAACTATTACATTTTTTAAAAGCAGTTTTAAAATGGAGAAAAATGAATGGTTAAAATACACTCATGAGCATATTTTTCAGCTCTTTTTTCACAAAAGAAGCATTTGTAAGAGATATCATAAACAAATCCTTGCTTTGTTCAAAAAGGACATCAAGTTAGAAGGCAAAAGAAAACCTCCCTGAACTTTTTCAGTGTTTTAAAAGGTATGAACAGAAAGGTCATGCAACCCAATAGCCTAACAGGATATCTAGCTAGAAGGTTAATCAAGGGCCTTGAAATTCTGAGAAGGACTTCCTTTGGATGGCTTTCAGTGAAAGACCAGTTTAAATCAGGGATTGGTAGCATTAATTAGTATCTTATCTTGATTATCTTCCAGATACAGGAAGATGTTCTAAAGGTTGTTTGCAAATACCTTTTTGTACTTGCTAAAGTATCTTTCAATAAGACACCTTGCAGATTATTTTCCCTTGTCTGGTTGTAATATTGTATTGTGTGTATACAGTAAAATAAACTGAACTAAGCAACCTGGTACTATTATTCATATCATACAGTTACCAATCAGCTGTTTCGTGGTTCTTACATGAACTACAAATGGAAATTCTTGTTCAAGATTACTGGATTACCATTTTAAATTGCTTTCCTAAAAGCCATGGCAACAAAGTAAACACTGATAAGAGATGGTGCAGCACAACTTTTTGGTGAAAATGATAACCATTATAATGATAATGATAATGGGAATGTCTGCGTTGATTTTTTATCCATTGTAAACTGAACATTACAAAAAAGCAGTAAACTATTGCAATGATCATAAACAGTGCTGCATTCTCATTTTACATTTGAGGAGCAAGCACAAAATGTTCATTTGATACAAGAATTTACAACAGATGGTTACATGGGCAAACTTGCATGCAAGGTTGCTGAGAAAATATAGAGGCCCTGGGGCAAAAGCAGCGAATTAGGCAGTCCTTCGGAAAATCAAGCTTTGGGGAATTAAGCTGAATATGGTGATCTTAAAAATGCCTTTTTCAGAGAGAAAGATAAGAAGAATCTTCAAGTAGTATGATTTATAACATGTGACTTAAGTGTGAAGTTACGTAAAAAATTTAGAAAAAATAAAAGCTCTTATAAAGTTTTTGTGGGAAAATCTAAATTTCTCGTCCCTTTTATGAATTTTCTTATCTACACCACTAGATTGATATTAACCTTGATTGTCAGAAGATCTTCTTTTTGCAGGTCTATTTGTTACCTCCCTCTGGCATATGCATGTGATCAATCACTTGCATTATTGGTGCCATGCATATCCCAATGCGTGTGTGTGCGATCGCACGCATTAAACAACAAAGACTGGGCCTGGTATTTATAGTATGAAATGTCTGGTGACAAAATGGGATCCTATTGTTATTGGTTGCCTATTAATAGATAGGTGTGTATGTTAACTAGTTCTATATTCCCTTTTTTCTCTTAGAAGAAGCAGAAAAGTTTAAAGGGCATCAAAGAAGACAAGAGAAACATGCCAAAATCACAGAAAATGAACAGATATATACATTTAAATTTTGTGGTTTAAAACAACACTATGTTTGAGATAGTGGCACTGATTTCATTATTTGGAATTTATGCTCTTATTTAAAATGTAAGGGCAAAATAAAACAAGATTCCCCAACATAGATTTTCCATCATCATCATCATCCCCTGCTCTACCACAGATGAAATTTTTATTCTAAACATTATTATTACTAGTACCTTTTGTCATTGGCATTTTTTTACTGTTCTGAAGAGAACTCTATTGCTATATGGTGAAAACTCTAACTTAATCAGGTCCTAAGCAAAGATATAAAAGCATGAAAAAGAACCATAATAAAATTTTCTAGTGAATGAACTCTTTAGGAAACATACTAATTGAACCCTATTAAATGAAGTTTATTAAATGAAGAAAATGACATTTAAGGTCTGAACATGGTGACTATTAAATGAAGTTTATTAAATGAAGAAAATGACATCTAAGGTCTGAGCATGGTGACAGCACACTAAAGAGGGTGCATATACCTAAAAACTAGATATATGTATTTAAGTATCGACTGGTAAAACTGAAATTGCTGATGCACCTCATGGTTTTGGGTGGTATTTGGACAGACACAAGACTACAAAGTTTGGGTATGCCCAAACATTTTTACTTCAAATCCCCTCCATGATTACAAGTTTAGATTAATCAGTGCAGTTGACATTCTATGTGAATCCCACACATAGCCTCACCACGAGGCTTGAAATGCTACTTAAAAAAAATCCTGCAGCTTTTAAGCTTCTATTTTGCAACATGATTTGTTCCTGTGGAAGCAAAAATTGGCAGAAAATAATTCCCCTCACTTTCGCACTCTGGCATGGCCACACCTGAGGCGCAATGCTGTTGGCACAACCTATATCTTTTAAAAATCCTTAATGCTCTGCAACCTGGGCCCAGATAAGAGCTTAAGACCCCCATGGTAAATCTCTCATTACTAGGGTAACAAAAAAAATCAATTCACACTTCTAATTCTCCACTTATAATTACAATTGAGCAAAAATGAAGGTGTTTTACAGAAGGTTTGCACTACATGAACTTTCCAAACAATACTTTGATAGTCTCTCCAATATCATATGGCAGGTAAATCCAATTGGGAATTTTGAGAAGAATCCAAACAATTATAATTTGACCATGCTTTTTCATGTAAAATAGAGTAGTGTGGATTTGTTAAGATATCATATCCAATTTCAATTTGTATGCTTTTGCCACATCAAACAATAGGCATTGCCACAAATTTGTTCTACCATTCCTTTGCATGCAAGATAGACGAGATTTCAAGTGACAAGGTTTACGGTACATAAACATATCATCTGCCTTTGATTTCATTAAAAAAAATAGTTCATTTCTTGTTTGCGCCAAACCAGGGCAGACAGGTGAGGTGACAAACCAGACACTCTCTGGCCCTAATAACTTTTTTTAAACAACTAGAAACCCGCTCTATTTCATCACATTCACTTCGCCAAATCTACGCTGCTTATATATAAATTCCTGTTATATATAAAGAACTTCGAAACAGCAGTATCTATCCAGTTAAAGAAAACATACAAATTCGGCTAACTGTGACGACGGTTATAAGAAACACGTGGGAAAAGCAACAAGAAATGTCGTGGAAAATAATTTTCATGGTCGTTTTTTATGTTTAACCATAAGATAAACATCTGGAATCAATATTTGACAATCAAAAATCAATACCTTTCCTCTGTTGGCCTTTTATGTCCATCTTAATTTAAGGTTTTCATAAACATAAAAAATGTCGGACTTCTTCGCTAGCAGAGCAGTTACCCGCAAACGAGGCTGAAGACACGGGACTCACTTTCAAGTTGTGGGATTGGCGCCAAAGTGAACTTGAAAAGTTGAAGTGGGGTTCTAAAAGAAATCATCAAATCGTCAAATTGTTCAGCTTTTTTGAAAGAATGCCATCTTTTCCAACATACCCAACTGCTAAAATGAATACAACAAAACAAAACAACAATTCATCTTTTAGAGTTCCCAAACACAAACAAATAGCATTCTAAAAAACCTTATTAAATGTAAGCATTCATACCCCATTATCTCCACCAATAAACACATGTAAACATTGATATCGAATTTGGACAAAGTAGAGGTTATAGAACAAAGAGATAATATACATTGGTTGAAAGTGATAAAACAATACCATTGAAAAAGGACTATCCTGAAAAATATAAACCGAGCTACATTTAACCCAAAAAACAAACCTTGTAAACGTGGACCCCAAAAGGTAAGAAATCTCAAAACAAGAAATTTTGTTTGGAAGCATTGTCCACGTATCTCGTTTGATTGATCAGTTTGATTGATCGAATGGTCGGTTTGATTGAGATCTTTTGCAACCTAATCACTAAGCATAAAAATAAGTCTCTTAACGTTAATGTTCATTTTCTTTCTCTCTTTCTTTCTTTTTGTTGTTGTAAATTCTGATTCACATTAGATTTCAGGCAGTTTAACCGCCATAAGCTTTGAAACAAGTCGCGTTCGTGACCTGTAAATCCTGACCAGGCATCTAACGTCAAACAGAATCTCGCTTTGTAGCCATTAGTTTTTAATCATTAGTAATGTAGTTGTATGTGGTTTAACATTGCCTGTTGTCCATGGGGTAGTCATTATCTTTCGCTCCCCTTGGTATCGTCCATATGGTGAAGTATAGTATCTAGGATAAGTATAGTAGAAAATAACTTGTTTTCTAAAATTTTATATGAATAGGAAAAAATTATCTTGTCTGCTGCTATTCGCTAACATTGTTCGCCTGATATCTAATTTGAGAGAGACTGTAGTGTTCTTTGTTTTTTTCCTTTGGTAATTCGTATGCAAGTTGTCTTAGTTTTTCGTGGTGCCACGGAGTAGTCAAAGTATTTTGCACCCAAATGCATCGTCCTTGTAGTGTCGTTAAGTATTTTGTAGGTAGTGTAACTAGTAAATTTGTATTGTAAGATTTTATTGGAATAGTGAAAAAAGTATCTCGGACATAACACATACGGAGCTAGTCCCCCTACCTCCTCTTTGGGGCAATTTTTCCAAGAATGACAAAATTTTCAAAAAACAGAATCTTGTAATATAGTATCGTTTATCTAGAATGCAAAAAATTGTCAAGAACGAACAGGAGGACCCATTTGAATCATTTCAATGTAGAATTCACAGGGAATCCTGTTTCGTTTTCATTTAATGATTTGTACGGGACACATTATAGAACAGGAATCACTCCATGCTTCGTTACTACTTTTCTTTTCAGTTTTAAAGAGCTTGTCCAAGACACGGTTTAATTTTCAGAAACGCCAGAGCATGGGCTGTAGACAAGGGATGTAGTGGTGGGGGCTCAGGGGGGCGCAGCCCTCTTTGTTAAAATTTTCGAAAAAAGTGGAGGGCTCAGCCTCCCTCAGCGGTTTTGCTTGGATATAGCCAAGAATCATGGAGCGCCAAGAGATAGAAAAGAGATACAACTGATAGATTTAATCACATTCCAAGCTTTATATAGATGAAAATATACACAAAGTTTGACATATATAGATAGAAAATTATTGAGTGATTTCTTACTGAGTACATTTAGCTGCAGTTTTGTATAGACAGTTGGTTTTTGTTGCTGCATTTAGAAATAGGGTTATCTGCCTGAATCATTGACCGGTTGCTATTATTTGACTTTGTCTTCTTTATTCTTAATATTTTTTATAAGAACAATACAATTTTTGCAGACACCTAATGGTCTTTTTTTTGGATAACTTCAGGCTTGGGTGTTTTTTTTAATTTTGTTTTTATTTCAAAATTGATTTTCTATATCTGCAAACTTTGAATGCTTTCTAAATCTACTGAATAACACCGTTGTATGGCATTTTAAATAGCACTGTTCATTAGCTGATAAAATCTGCTCTGTTTTTTTCAACACGAGAGATGATGTGTCAATTCAAAATCCAACTAATTGGTCATAACTATTAAGAAAAGGCTTATGAATATACTGCCTAGGATTTTCCTTATCAATTGTTGTAAATATTTTTGATGCATTTTCTGGCCATCCTTAGAATGTCATGTCTCAAAATTATTCTCGCCGCCAACCATGGTGGCTGCTTTCATTAAAACCCTGGGCAATATAAACACTTTGCCCCCTCGCTTTCAGTGAAGTTTCCCCCAGACCTTCACATGGTATCAATGTTCTGATCTCTGCTGCCACTCAAAACAGTCAATTTACCTGGCTGCTCAACCAATGATTGGAAAAAAGATCAACCCTCTCATGTTCAAATTGCAATGATGACATGGCAAGAACAACTTAGAAATTTCATAGAGCCCCCCTTGTTAAAAATTTACGACTACATCCTTGCTGTAGACCCCATTTTTTAGCTAAAAGATAATGGTGGCAAGCTACGTAAGGGCCTCCCTACTATTCTAGAGCCCCCCTCCCCCCAATCTAAAATGTATTTGAGTTGTGATTGATGTAGAAAATGGTTATAACATTTGCTTTTCAGCATTTTCAGCCTTTTAACATAAATAACTTTAAATTATTTTTTTTGATTTTTTCATGTTATCTTTCCTTTGCTCGAAAATCATGCCATCTTTTTCATAAAACACCTTTTTTAACTATACTTTCTATATATTGCTTTTAGCTTCTCTTATTGTGCTGTTAATTGTTTTTAAAACCTGCCTCTAGCGAAGTTAGCTAAGTATGTTTCTTCAGCTTTCGAAAAAAGTGAAAAATTTATTACATAGTGTTTGAAAGGTATTTTCAGGATACCTTTTTTGAAAACTTTTATCAATCAACACAAATTGAAAAGAACGTGTTTATTAGAACAACGTTAATTTCATTTCTCTTTGAGCTTTTACATTAAGCCTCTCGTTCTTAATTCACGCTAAATTGAATTCGCGGAAATTTCTGCCGCATTTAGCTAATAGAATCTGCCTTGTTTCTGTCTGGCGAGGCTGAGTGAAAGTTTTTTAACATAACTTTCATTGAAAAATTGATGGAACACTTGCGTAAAGCTAAAGCTTTTTGAAAATTAGCCCTATCCTCCATTGTATTGTTGCTCAATTTCTTCGTTTTGATGCTGACGTCAAAAGATTTGTCACGAAAGGCTTTACGAAGATATTGAGAATGTAAATCAACCTTTTATGGGTGAGGGGGTAAAACTTTGGAAACAGTTGTGATAAAATGTTAAGATTGTTGTACATGTTTTCGCTGTTTAGATGTTATCAGGGGAAGGCGTTTAAACTATTTTTGGTAAGGATCGTGGTTTATATTTTCGATAAGTTTCATAAATACAAAGAAACTATCGCAACATCATCTGATGAATTGTTTCAGTTCATTGTCCGTCTATGAAGAATTTGAAGAGAAAAAAATTTATTGAAAAGTAGATTTTTAATACTGATTTCCATATACTATGACAATTTAATCTTTTTGTTGATAAGATTTGTGCTTATAAGTTACACAAGTAAAACTGTTAAGCATAACAATACAGCGAAACAATACATGTGAGAGATGTCTTTGGTTTGAACTCGTTCACAAATCTGAAAATGTATTACAAGAATTAGAACTAGCTAAACTTATTTCTACTAACAATTCATATTTTTTTGGGCGCCAAAGATCTTAAACTTTGGGCAGTTCATCGACGATTGCCAAGGGGACAATGCTACACTTTTTGATGCTGTCTCGTTTCCATCAACAACACCAACAACTGTAACGAGGTAAACACCGTGAAGCCAGTCTCCTCCTTGAGGGTTCAATGCACACATTGCACTTTTATCAAGGGTGCAAACTGCTAAGTACCCATTCTGTCCAATCAGATTGCGATCATAAGAGCACTCTTTAAAACCAAATTTTGTGTCTTTCTTCTTGCACCAATTGTTGTACCAAGAAGACTTGCAAACTTTCAGGTGCAAATTTTTTATTTCTGCGCCATTATCCTTACTTTTGACTGAAAGTTTAAACTGCATTTCTTGATTGCAGTTGTGATTCACATCAATGTCTAGCAAAGGGGCTACAAAAACAAAGTTTATTCAATGTGGCAACGTCATGTATAATTTTTACCTGATAAAAGGACATTACGAAACGGTCCTACGTGTGATGTAAATTATAAGAACCAGCAAATTTAATATAGAGCTTGCTGTTCTTTAAATATTGAGGTGTAAGTAGTGCAATTGCTAGCTAGTGTTCACCAAGGCGATGTTCAGGACTTATTTGCCAACAAAATGAATGAGACATCCTTTTTGTCTACAAGTTTGAAAATTCACCGAAAAAGTATTCCTTGATTGGAAAAAACGGGGCTATTGCAGTTTTGCACCTCTCAGTGTGTGATTCTATACATAAGGGTAGAGTTTGGGTAAGGATCAGTATCCGAGTGGTGCGAAACTGCATTAGCGTCACAAAGACTTCGTTTTTAGATGAAATTCTTAAATGGGGGCATCACAACATTGTTCAAAATCACGTTTCACAGTAACTAAGTCTCAGCTTGTTCTCAATTTGAAAACAACTTTGGATCCTATTCTTATAAATGGTACAAAAAATGTCTAAGACGAATCTTTAGTGGTGTAGGTTTTTGCTCTTGTCCTATAAATCAACTGTCTACATACAAGTATAATTATCTCTTGTAAGAACACTGATGTAAAAATAATTCTAGTATGACATACAACCGTGCCCTAAGATTTAATAACCACATTACCTATCACCCTCAACCTTCAGAAACTGCTAGCAAATAATTTTAAAAAATGTGACCATAAAATATTAGGCACCTTTATCCTGTCACTATTAACAATAAAGATTGGAACAATGAGTTTAGAAGACTTAACATATTTGGTCTACCTCAAAAGAAAACTTACCGTGTAAATTGCGGCTGTCTTGTAAAGTCATTCCAAAAGCCACGCGTAGGAACATCCACATGAAAAGAACCGGATATATCATCGTGGAGAACATCGTGTGCTTGTTTCACGTCAGCTTCTGCTTAGTGACCCGTTGTTCATACTATATCGCTTTTATAAGGCTTGCGATTACGTCATCTTTCGAACTTAAAAGCACAGGGATTCCCCAAAATTAATTTTCAAAGAAAATTAGAAAAACTGCAACGTAGTGAAAACCCTCTGTTTGTAAAGCATTCCAATTACAAAAGAAATGCACAGCCTTGCTATACTATGCTCTGTATTCATGTTCATACTGGGCATCTCATGGCAATATTGCGAAAGTTGTGAATCATCACACTTAGAGTAATGGGAATTATATTCCATCAAGGAATACAGAACTATCTAAAAATACAAGAAACAAATTAGAGATACATAAAACGTTTTGAAGACTCTGTACATTCCAAAAATAACAATGGTATGCCGTAATCCGAATATTAATGGTTAATTTAATACGAAACAATTTCTAAATTCATTTCTAGAACTTTCTAGACTTCAAATCTATATACATATATGAATATATGTATAAGGGGCTTTTAGCTGATGGGTTGATGACGAACTTTCGATTAGAAAACACATTGAACTGAGGATAATTCTTGAAAGAAGGAATTCACATTAACTGCTTTGATAGAAAAACACGTTTTATTACCATCTCAATTTTTACATGCTGGCTCTGCACAACAGGCAAATTATTCGTTGCTTTTTTGTTCAACCTGGTGCTCCTTCTTTCAAGGAGAGAACTTCTCTACAAATATCAAACCTCGGTTTATTAAAATGGCAGTAATTCTTTGAATATTAGGATTTATTTCTTATATGATATGTATTTTAGATTAAGAAAAGAAGTACGAAGATAGATTTGCTCAAGGGCATGTATATATTGCTGTATACGATAGATCGTTCAATCCACCATTATCCACTTTTCATTGATAGGAAATCATAACATGCCGGGTATATTGCAATCAATGAAGCAACAATCGAATTGTATTAATCTGTAGGTTTTTATAATTGTTGTCGAGCAAGACTAGTCCGCTTCTGCTTGTTAAAACATGTCTACCATCACCCTTGCCTTTGTCTCGACTAGAGAAAAACAATCAACTGACACTTAATCAGATAAAATCGATTTGATTCTTTTACAACATTGCATCATTTGAAAAAACATTATGCAATATTCTGCAATGCTGCCTTTAATTCATGGAAGATATAAAGAAAGTGGAAGTTGATAACAATCAACTGGCAAGTTTGAATTTCATTTTAAAAACGCGGTCACCCCATTTCACTTGAAATCATGAGACTATTCAATGATATTTCCTTGTATACGACACCAAGAGCATGTGATCAAATGTGATACGTCGTGCATCGGTTTGTCAGTGCAGGTATCCACAGACCTGCGAGGTATTTGAAGCATTGCACTTGTCCTTTCGTTCTCAGAACCTTAATTTCACATGGCTGGGGAAGAGCTTAGACTCGAGTACTGGACAATCGTCCCCCTTATCTATCAATTTTGGAAATGTTTTCCAATTAACTCAGGGGACATGCCAATTTGTTTATATGGCGGGTGGCATCGTCATTTCTTCAGAATAACATCATAAAACTCTTTTTAATTTACCCATTTCAAGCTCGAAATAAGATGGAAACAATTTGAATTTCAATACTAAAAACAGTAGTTGAAAAAAGGGAGAACGACAATACTTAATATTTTGAATACACTTCGTTCTTATCATTTACTTCCTTTTCAATCAAACTCTGATACCTGGTGCCTTGTGCATAAAACAGCTATAGAGCATGAAGGATGAACATGCTTTTTTGCTATTCAATTGAGTTTTACAATACAAAATGACTTTTTAACAAATAAAGGATTTCTCCCTTCGGGTGAAAAAAGGATGTGCATTCAGTTTTACATTTTAACGCTGTGTGAATGCTGGAACATTCTTGACAAGAGAACAATTTTCTGTTTATCTCATGCTAAGGGATCGAAAATTTGGTAAATCCTGACAAATGGGGGTCTAATGATACACTGTATTATAACAAAAAATACGCGCCATTCTTCCTCGCTTTCAATCGACGTCTGGACATAAACTTCTGCTTAGCTATAGCTTTTATCCAATGTTTATAATCTGAGGAATTCTAGACGAAAAGTACCTCAGTGTGCCATGTTTGTTTTTTATTCCTGACCAAGTGTTAAGACTAAACCCGACTAAACCATAGATAATATAGTTTAAATTTCATTTCAAACAATTTTATATTCAAATACAAGGAAAATTTCAATGGAGGCATATAGGGCAAAATGCATTTGAAGATAGGTTGAGACGCTTTTAAGTGAAATAATGATCGTGAGCACGGGGGACAGGTGACCATACCATAAATTCTCTACGTAACTTCTGAACATTCACAAAATTTCAAGCATATAAAGCAGAAAGTCTTTTAAAAGAGTGTCTACGATGAAAGAATAAATGGCAAAATATGTTTAGGCAAAACTAAGTATGGTTAAATATGTGAATGATTCAATAATTCAACTATTAACGCTAGGATTTAACAAATATTCTAATCTTTAATTCGTTTATCTAAGTTATTTGAATGAAGGCTAAGCTGAAACGGAATTGCAATCAAAACGCTTGATCTGAAAGTACACAGTATCCGTCGCACTACTTTCACTTGACGAAGTGGATAATGAAGTCTTCCAGAAAAAATAAATGGAATTATTCCCTCGCAGCAACTGGAACAAGGTTCTCGAAAATAACTCTACCAGCACAACGGATACAACAAATGAAAACACATAGTGTCCAAATATAAGCAGCAATAACCGGAAAGTCGTAACAACTGAAGTATAATGTACGCCCCTACCCATTTACATAATACATCATCTATGCAATTATATTTCCATGAGCCTCTCCAAAACGATTTGCATTTTGATCATAATTACAGCAAGCTAGCCGTTTTTTCTGTTGATATGGTACAGCCAGTCATTTTGGAAATTAGAGCAAACTTTAGTTGAAAGTGGCTGTCCAGTTTGTCAATTTTTTCTAAGTTATTATATCTTCGGGGATAAAAACAACGATCATGAAAAATAAATTAGAGAGAGGGTTTCCTTTATTGATTTATGCAAACTAGTACATAAGAAATATGGATATTGTCCTGCCTGCCGATTGTCTAAGTTCTCTAAATGAGGTTCAATATGGCAGTGTGGCTAATAAGTCCCTCTCATATTAAGTTGTATAATCAACCCCTTTTTAGTTGGCGCCTATTTTATACCATATTATGTTGATTGGACACGATAGGAGTCGAAGTCTTTAAAAACCACTGCCAGAGTAGGAAAAAATTGAGGTATTCATCTCCATGTATATTTTTCGTTGAATTGACTAAATTTCATTTTTAAGGGACATGAAGAAATACAAGGGGGGGGGGGCAATAGAACATCTATCATGGTAAGTATATGAAACTTTTTAGAGGCCATATGGGAAAATTTACCAATGATTTATTAGCTTTAATCATACCACAGCAAGGTCCTATTTGTATTTGATGCTTAGAACGAGAAAATGTCAGTTAACATTTACAAAAAGGATATATAGCTGGTAAAATTAAAAGAAATACCAATACAAATCATAGGATGGACCTATGGTTGTTTGCGGTACCAAACAAAATGTCACATGACACGAAACAAAATGGCTATCATCTGCTTGTCCAGCTAGCCGAAAATTCGACCAACATCCTCGTAACTTATAATCATATCTTTACGTGCAGTGGGTAAACATTTCAAACGGAGCAAGATCTTTCTGCTATCAGCAACAAAACTTCGAATACTTTCCAGTACGGATTCACACGCGCGCTTCTAAAACTTTTTGATATTTTCAAACCTAAAGCAGGAAGCAATGCGAAAAATGAGTTGTTTGGTAGTGATTGAGAAACAATCAAAAAGAATTATCAAGGCATTAAAGTTAGGAAATGCACAAAGCAGTTACTTAAGGTAGAGCTCTTTTGAAGAAAGGACTGAAAATTATTCCAGTGTTTCAAAACCCTATCCATGGGTACAGTGATCTTCGCTCTAGGTCAAAGTAACAAAATCAATGGTCGCAAGTTCTCTGCATTTGACAATTCGAAACTAAGATGGTAACAAAATTATTCCAAAAGCAATGTGGATGATCACAATCACAATGTGGATGAATAATGAAGCCATGACCACACGGAAAATAATGTCTACTTTCTATATCTCACCGTTGCTTGGATTATCACACCTTTGGAGCACTCCTGTCATTTGTCTCCGCCTTTTTCAGTTTTCCTTTGCTAAATCCTGATATTGAGTCAAGCAATTGGCCACGCCCTTTCGATGACGTAGGTGCAGTTGGTTGTGACGGTGCAGGAGCGACTGGTGGTTGAGGAGGTGGCGCGGGGGCAGACTGCGGAGGAGGAGGTGGAGGCGAAGAGACAGAATTTCGTTTCGCTGAAAATGAAAATACTACCGTTTAAAAAACAAATATTCGACAAAATTCAGTCTTCCAGTTTTAAAAACCTGGTTAGATTTTAGCTCCTAAAACTGCTTCAGTATTGACAAATGGCTAATAGAAGCACACTGTAAACTGTGATTCCTAAAATAAATTTTTAGAGGACACCTGTAACGTTGATAATTTAACATTGTTACATTTCTATAAGGCTGACCTTCAAGAAAATGGTCCAACCTAACGAATGTTCAATTTCTCCAGTGCAAGACTTAAGCAAAGCTATTTGACTTCAAATTGGGGGGCAAGGATCCAGTGGGAGTTGAAAATCAGCCGGAATTAGTGAAAGTTCGAGTCACACGGGATACGGGATTCAACTTTAACTCATAAAAACCGGAACCGGGGGAGGGGCTAGGGGACTGTCGTCCCCACTTTTCACAGATGCATGAAATTAAGGTTGTAGCATTGAAGCGGAAAATCATGTGGAAAATCACCATAATAGTTAACAAATTTGCGAACAGCCCCCCCCCCTCCATTACAAAATTTGCTCGGGCGTCCTTGTTATATAAATTTTACACCTTATTACAAACAGATCTGTTTCGGTGCCAGAGTGTAATATCAGCCACTAATGTGTCGAAACATTTCTGAGATTTTAAGCAGATTTTTTAATACACACATGAATTTTGTGCAGAACTAGGCTTCGCTGTTTCATCAAATGATTGTTGTTTCTAAGAGAGAAGTAGAAAAGTACAAATGTAGATAGCCTTACGACATTCTTTATAACCAGTCGCAAGGGTAAATTAAATTATACCAACTAAAAGCATGGTTCAAACAAAATATTTATAACAAGTCACACAAGGGTGGGACAAGTTTTTTCTGAAAGAAACAAGTTGTCCCTGAGCAGTAAGTTTGTTTGAGTGTTGAGGATTGAACGTCACAACAAGAACAAAATTTGAAGATTCATAAAGATTTGTTGCACGTTCAGGCATAAGTTTCTTAAGAATATTAAGAATTCAATAATATCTAAAGTAAATGCGAACAGCAGTGACGTTTTGTCACAATATTGACAGATTATCAACTGCTTTTTGCTACAAATGTCTTTGAGAAATATGGCCACAACATTTCGCATGAAGATAAACGTCCTCTCAAGCAATAATAAACATACACTACTAAGCTTCCATTAATCAGCTTTTGCCTAATTATTCTGTTACCTTTTTAACTGACTTTTTTCGCTTCTTTTTTTCTTCTTCAGACATTATTTCTGACTTTGCCTTTGATAGCCTTAAGAACTGCCTCAGCTTCACATACAAAAAACAAACGCTATTAGAGAAAAACCAATACGTAAGAAATGTAACAGAATAATCAATAAAGATGAATGGTGAATTATTGAAGATGGGTTCTGATGATTAAAGATGATTGATTATGATGACTTATGATGACGATGTTATTACTATTGTTGTTATTATGATCGATGTTGATTGACGACGATGCTTATGATATATGATGATTGATGATGATTGATTATGACACTTGTGATGATGATGATATTATTACTATTGTTATTATTTTGATCGATGATATGATGATGATGATGATTGAAGACGATTGATGATCGATGATTTGATAATGATAATTGATGATTGATTGATAATGATTGATTGATAATGATTGATTGATAATGATTGATTGATAATGATTGATTGATAATGATTGATTGATAATGATTATTATTAACGATGATATATCATCTAATTGCCCTTGGGGTAAAGTAAAAATCGACCGAAAAAACTACGATAGGTACCAAAACTTTCTCGTAATTTCATATTAACCTTTTTTCAAACTGGCTGAAATATTCTAATTTCAATATTAATTTTTGTTTTAGGATATTTTACTAAGAAATGGCAAGATTTCTTGCATAGACAGTAAAGCATAAAACTCTGAAGTATTGCAGTACAAGCAATACTGAAATCAAAAGCCGATGCTGCGTATTCATACTAGCACGAACATATGTTCTGTTAAAAATTTTCCGCAATGTACACAGATTACGAAACCAGGAAAACCACACAAAAATTCGGTCGATGAAACTTCCTTGATACGCGATGCATTCAAAACTGCGTCTAGATTCTAATGTATAAAAAGAAGTCTGTTCTATACAAAAGAAAATAAACATTCTAAAAAACAAGCTGACGTAGTATTGGGTGGGTCATGAAAGCATTAACATGACTGTAAGCTATAGGGAGGGGAATCACCTCTGACGGTGCGTTTTCTGTGGTTATGAGTTGCGGTAATGACCATGTTTCAATAGGCCTAAAATTGAAATTGAAATCAATGAAGCCAGAATTTGTCAGAAAGAAATAATGAAATACCTTTCTCTGGTCATCTTTAATTCTGCTTTCGATAGCGTCCCTTGCATCTGCTAAGGATTCTTTCAATTTGCTGACCTATCAAGGAGAAAGTAAACTTGGTTGCCAAGTTTTGGAAAATAATATATGTGAGATTTCATGAGCGCAGCTAGCGAACAATGGAACTGTGGTCTAGAGTTACGGGCAGAAGAATTCCGAATTTTAGTAGATCTGGAGTGCTCAAATGGCTTAAAACTAGACCATTCAGAATGCCTAAACATTTGTTTGTTTCACATTTAAAACATTCCAGAAAAACACAGAGGCTTTTAAACGTAAGAATACACAAACCGTGAGACGTGGCAACTTTGAGACATCACTTGCTGATCGAAATCAAGCTTTCTAAAGCAAATTGCAGCAAGATTTTGCAATAACTTCCACACTGAATGATAAACTAAAAGTTGTTGAGTAATGAACTGGAATGCCTCTAAATATTTTATGAACAGACGTAGACAAAATGAGCATACCAACATACATCACAGACAGGATTTTAAAGAAAAATTAGTACATGCAAAGTAAAATTAATATCATACCTTAAGTGAAGGTTTCTCCTGCAGGACCACAGGAACATCAGAGAAAAGCCTAAGAATTACATTAAAAAACAGAATGAAACTTTTAGTCAAGAACGATAAAAATCAACGAACAAGGAGGGGTGCCAAGTGAATAGTGTTTGCTCTTTTTTAAGAATGATTCTACAAGAGAAAAAATCGAACGTGCAACAGTTGTAATTTTCAGAAAACAATAGCAATCTAAACTGCCTAAAAAGCTGTGTACAACAAGTACGAGCACCAGGACCGTCGAAACCGGGGGCTCCCGGGGGCTAGAGCCCCTCAATAATTGACAAACTGTAGTATATTCTTAATAACAGTGAACTGAATGAGGAGGAATACAATGGGCAGCCCTTCCCAAATATGAATTTTGTTCCGACAGCACTACGAGCGCACAGGTAACTGACTGTCCATAGTCTGACGAAGTGATATTTTCGTCTACATCACACAAAAGGCATATACAAGAATTATATTAGCAACTCCCTTGAATCAAGGTTCAATTTTTTAAGCAAAATGGTCGAGACATTGCACAGTCACCATTGTGCACTAGCAGAGGGTTCGAAAAGTGTCCTTTTTTCCTCCACACAATTTCCTCAAGCTTCTTTGGAATGTCATTCGGAAACAAATAAACAAGGCGGAGTTTTGGCATGGCACCTTTGGTTTCTATTTGCCGTGCGTCAGCTTTCAAAAATTATTAAAAAAATTCAACATAATTGGGAACTATAAACAAAACTAATTAAAAAAAATTCTTCAAGGATGGAATTTACAACTTACAGCGATTATACAAACTAATGAACGTTTTCAATAAAAAATACATTAATATATATAAATATCAAAGAAGTAACACATTTATGAATTATTCCATCATTTCTGAAAGGTTTGTTATCTTTGTTGAGGGATTGTCTTGACAGGCTTGCAAGGATTTGAATAAATGGGTATTTGTATTTTGCTACCTAGCTTTCTAACCCTGTAATGCCCAAGGAGTGACAATTTCACCAAAAAATATCCATCAATATTATTTGTTGAATAAGAATAAGATAAATTTATTTGAGAAAAACATTTCAGAATTAAGTGATGCATCCCCTTTTTGAGTTGGTATCATATATGCTATCATGGGCATTTGGGGAAAAAATCTCAGCGCATGTGTCTTTGTCAGAACGTCAGGGATCATACTGCTACAAGGGGCATGGTAGTTTTAGGACACTGAGAAGCTATGCTTATCGAGCAGTCTCCTTGTCCTTCCTTTGGAATACATTAACTGCTCTCTTGGCTCACGAACCAAATAAACATGCTATTAATATTGAAAGACTTCGAAATATGAAACCAGGCTAGTACCATTTAGAAAATGTAGCATGAAGTCGACTAGCTTGGGTATTAATCTATAGTTAATTGGCGAAATCTAACATCGCATACAGAGCTTGAAGGGTTGACATTCTTTATTAAAGATCAAGCGAAAATGACCATGATGTAATAGGATTTTACAGTAGAATTGCGTTAAAAAAGCTGCTTTTTTCGAACATGCATGATGTCATAAGAACCGTCTGACAGATATATTTTAAGTGTTTTATTCTTTTATTGATTGAACTTTGATTGGCCAACATAGAGTCAGTATATAAACAAAAGGAATGGAGATTGGCAAAGCAAAGAGCCACACACAGAACTTAAGTAACTTGTGCTTGAAATGTAGAAATGTTCATATACACAATGACAGGGCTGAAGATCATTACCTTATAAACCAAACCAAGTGCACACAATTAGAGAATTAAGTAGTAAATGTGAATATCAATAGTGATTTGCATATAAATTACTATACTCACGGATTTGAAATAAGTTCTGCGATCGTAGGCAGCCCTGATTTAACTGCTGATGAGCTCAAGATAGAATGAAGAACGGGTTCTGAAAAAAAGAAAATACAAAACTTTCTTCATACTGTGCAAGAAGGTTTACTTTTCTCTAGAAATAATAAATAATAGGAAAGATCTTCTATCAAGGGTTTCGACTGAATGAATAATGATTCTGGAATAGCAAAGTAAAAATACGTTTGAGAAAATGCGTATTGAGTGGTTAACTATCTTTAAACTCTACAGCAGAGTGGAATGCGGTATTGACAAGGATATTGGATGACGCCCATTACCTTTGAGACTGCAATAATATGCAATATCTAAATGTCGATTCGTTGTCAATCTTTAGGGAAGGACAAAAAGCTTTACGCTACTGCACATTACAATATAAGTTACAGATTGTCTCGTAATATTATACTATAATGTAACCATAATTGTAGCTTATATTATACTTTTCTGAGAATTTATTCAGACACCTAAAGATTCTCTGTATTTTCATTTGTCCAAAATTTCGACTTTCGCGCAAGGCAATTGTCGTCTTAGTCGAAGACAATTCGTGGCCAAACTAATTTAACTCAACATCATTAATTCGAAAAAGCCTATACAAGATGAGACATACGAAAAAACACAGGAATTAAAATGATTTGGTTAAAGAGCTCTTAAATTTAAAACCATTTAACTTAAACTTAGTGCATTAATGCAAAAATATCTAACGAAATTGCAATCTGTAGGCTTTTTTTAAAATCTGAGAGCAGAATTCGACAAAGGGGCGTATTCAAAATTCGATTGCAAATAATGGGCTGATTTGAGAAATGGCTAATTCAGGGTTGCTGTCCTATAAGGTTAGGGGAGGGGCTTCGCTCTAGTCAACTTCAAGAATCCATGATTCATGAGCCAAGATTCTCTGCTGTGTATATGTAATCATAAAAAACTATTATTCGCCGACTCTAAAAGACTGATAAATTGCTCATTCACGGAAAATCTTTAGCATAATAAAGGGTTGCTGACACAAAATCCATCGAGCCAAACAAGTGCTCGCTTATTTAAGGGAAGTGGCTCATAAAATCTTTGAAATTCAAGGAGGGGAGCTGAGAACCCGATCCCCCTCCCCCACGGCACCCCTGGGCCTATTCGCAAGGAGGGTATATTCGAGAAGGGGCTTCGAGAAGAGGCTAGTATTATGAAGAAAAGCAAAATTCTCTGTTTAATTTTAAAAATTTTCCAAAAAGAATCACAATAGCTTACTTACGTATCTGGGGTGGGCAGGACGGGGGAAACTGGTCTAATGTAGCTGTGTTGAGTGGTTCTGCAAATGTTATTTCATACAGAAGGTGTCCAAAACAGTAAACATTTAAAGCTTCCATGTCCTACAGAGAGGATTAAATGACACAGTGATGATATTTAAAAAACGTGGTCTCTGAACAGAGACAATAAAAACTCCTAATGATAACTTAATAGAGAAACGCCCAACAGCGGATCTCAATAAAGGTTTTATTCGACTTGAAAGCATTCTTTGACAATCCAAAAAATAGAAAACTTCCTCGGGAGAGGGGGGGGGTGCTGGTTTTGGACGGGGACGTGGCATTTTTGTTCAAAATTTGGCCCCATAGTTCCGCACTTTTCAGAAAAAAGGTATGCTTAAATAATGCCACGTCCCCGAACCTCAAAACCTATTAAGGTACGTAAAGAATCCCCCCCACCCCCCCCCCCGAGAAAACTACTCAAAAACCAATTTTTTCTACTCTCAAGATCTCTACTCTCAATGCAAATTGATGCTACTATGTGACGTTAAAATTTCCAAAAAATGTTGCAACTTATTCAGATGAGATGAAATCAAAGGGACTGTTGAATACTTTATCCCAATACGATCGCGTTTTTGAGTAGCAATGCAAAAAAGGAATTTCAACAGTCATTACCAACAGAGAGTAAGTATACCCTTAGCGAGCAATCTTTTTGCAATGTTTTGACAAATGAGTAATGGTGACAGCGTTGGCTATCTAAATTTAAGTCAGAGGACTTTTTTGAATACGATATCTCCAAAAACTCTCGCACATGGAGAAGCAAAACAAAAATAGAATTTTCAAAAGTCATTAATGACAAAAAGTACAAACAAATACTTATATATAATTGAGCATTCGCATCTCACCTGAATTTTTCTCATACTTAAGATATATGAACGATAGATGGAGGGCACACCAAGCAGACCGTTTTCTATATCCAACAGTCTATGAGGAAAAGAAAAGTTATTGACATGAGAAATTACATTTCTCATCTCTGTCTTGACGTTAAGCCTTTAAATGTAGAAACAAACGGCAATGGCGAATACCAAATTAGGATCAATATATCATAAGGCAGTATTTCATGTTCTTTTCATATGTTAGGTTAAAAAATACTATTCTTTACCGGTTTAAAACCAAACAAGCTTCCTGAAACCGCTATGAAACCATTTTCAAACAATTGATTTAACACGTGCAAATCCAATTGTAATAACAAGACTTGAAGAACGTTAATCCATTTCAATCACTTAGAACGACTAAATTCAATTAAATTGTGTATTTCAGATTCCGAGATAGAGAAATTGTTTCACTTTCTGTACCCCATGTATAATGTAACGTGCTCTAAGTACAGGCCTCGTTAGTGTTTGGGTATAATTCAGGGATACCATTTAAAACTTTCTATAAATTCACCTGCAAGACTGCCCATCAACCAAAACATTGCCGACATGCAGGTGTCCTACAAGAAAACGTTTGTTATCAGCTATAGACTTGACAAATACTTCGTTAAAGAGCTCTACTATAGTACATGAAAAGATTTTCAATGACATTGAAAGATAAGCCAAAGAAGGAAGATCATAAAGTTTTATAAAATGAGCCTTTACCATCAAAAGTACAGAAGTCGTGTGCTTAAACTTTGTTAAGCCCATACTTTAGACAAACCTGTCCATCTACAGAAAAATGGCACCATAGGGAAGAAACTAGCCACCCAGGCTCATTACCATGCTGCTTCTTTATACTATAAGGTACAGGCAACGTTTTGGCACTGACTTAGGATAGAAGCATAAACAAGCAACTGATCAATTAGCAGAAGGCCTTGTGATAATTCCGGGAGGGAGATATGGTTAAATTCAGAGATCAAGTTGAAACTGCATACAGTTGCAGTTTACCAGTCTTAAATTTCTTTCAAAGAGGATTTTATATAAGGAGATGGTTTGGAGCACGGTTTCCATGCCTGTAGAGCCAGGGATTTGACTAGACACTTGATCATTAGAATGCATCGTTATAATTGGAGGGCGAAAGGCCACCACGACAGTGTCTCAGAGATACCATCAATGCATGGATCAGAGCAGCCTTCTAGAAGCGAATGGCTCATGTTTTTGTTACGGAAAATGACAGAAAACCTCGCTTTGCCTCCCCTTGGCTCAAAAGAATCCAGGATTGAAAGACTAAGTATCACGATATCTGCAGAATTCTCTAGAGACAATTGATTCAATATTCGTCCATTAAAATTTGTCTCCAATCTAACCGCTCTGTTCTTGATAGAGAACTACTGACTCTTTATAGAAATAATGATCAATAAAACAAATTTTCATAAGTTCAGTTTCAACAAAACTTCAGTTTCAACTGACTTACTTTATACATTTGAAGAAATCTCGAAGTAAATTTGAACAATGAAAATTTTTGAGAAACTTTTAAACAGAAAACAAAACAAAATGAGTTAATCAATAATTGAGCGTTGATTACCATATGGCCATCCTTTGTCCTGAAGGAACTTCAGTGCCTAAAAGAGAGCACATAACGTTCCTGAAATGCTACAATTCTACAATCGCTTATATCAAGAATAATGAAAGAAATCTAAAACAGGCAGTATCAATAATTACTTTTAACAAGGGTAGGATTTCTGATGATATAATATTATGACAGAACCACAAAAGCTACGAAGAATTAAAAACCCTGTATATATGGAAGGGTTGCCTTGTGATTCCAAAGAAAAACCAATTTTTATATAATGCAAATATAAGGAGAAGAGACTCATATTAATACTTTGCTCAAAGGTAAAGATGAAAAGCGTGAAACGGAAGATAGCCAAGTGTTTAACACACCTCGAGAATTTGCCTTCCACACCTTTTAACATCAGCGAACTCTAGAGGACATCGGACTTTCCCTCCGTATTTCTTTACATTGGAAGTCAACGGTTTTGCCTGAAATCATTAAAGATGCAATCATTATTGTTCTTTAACAGAAGCAATTATTTCATAATTTGCGTTAGTTTGAGCAAAGAAGCTAAACATTTATATTATAAAAAAACACGCTGTGAAACAGCCTGATAATCGCATTAATCGTGCAACTCGATAGCAACTTAAAAACATCGTTTTCTTTACTCCCAAAGCGTGTACACTTCTGCTTTGGTATAAAGCATCGATCACATTATTACAGACTGTGAAAAAGTAATTTCCATTATTATAAAAACATACAATTTGCAACTTATTTTTAAAGGATGAAACAAAAGTTAAAAAGGATCGCGTATTGGTGAAGCGTTTGAATGTAACTCTAACAAAACATTAATAACTTGAAATAAAGATTAAAGCTTATCCCTAAAGAGGATGTGATTTATACTTAGCTTCTACTTATGAGTAAACATAGTACATGCTTCTGCAAATGATTAACAAGGTCTCGATTACCAAAGCTTGAAAGGGGGCCTATTCAGCCCTCGTCCAGGTGCTTGGTCTACGTCTATGTACAATACTTAACATAAAATAACATCCTTAGTTCAGTCAGAAGAGGGAGCAAGGACCCTAGGCCTCAAACTGAGAAAACTTCGACAAAATTAATATGATTTTACCCTTTGCCTCGTTTGATTTTCGAAATTGAAAATTTAAATTTCAAAACAAATTTAGAGATATGTCATTTTTGGCATCTTTTTTTCCTATTTCATCGCTTCAGTTCAATATAAAAGTTTTAATAATATATAACATCGAAGGGCCTATGGCATCTTGTCAGGAATTCAAAAAAACAATAGAGGGCCAGATTCATCTTTGGGCTGAAAATTTTGGACTCGCCTGGAAAACCGGCTGAGATGCTTCAATTAGCCCTAGTGACTTGGGCTTTATAACACTACGCTTTTTTACCATGTTGGATTCTTGCTTCTTATATGAAAAAAGCCCAATATTTAAAGATGGGTGGTAGGAAAAAAACTTTCTTCATTGGGCAACAAATTGAATATAGAATCTTGAATGAATAGTAAAAACTTTATAGTCTTGATTAGAAACCGATATTCAATCTAGGCAGGCTTGACTGAAATATATAACAAAAACCTTGTATAGATGATCCTTCAGCGACCCAGCTGGATGAAAATTTCTAACTATTGTGGCGCCTTTGTTTGTGCATGATGCGTATTCGACAGGATATATAAAGGGGTGCTGAAAAAATAACAAAGTATAAGCACAGCTGCGAAAAACAGGGGTCATTATGATGCTAATAAGCTTGTCATTACCCCCCAAGTCTCCAGTTTTCAATATCTAAGCTGCTTTTCAAGGGCAATTAACAAGAGCTAAAAATAACTGATATTTAAGAGAATTGCCCATGCATCGAACTTCCGTTTTCTGTTACATATACTATGCAATCAATCAAATAGATTGGTAAAACAGCGCGTTTCTAGGATCTTTTTGTTACTATATACATTAAAACATAGAATTGTTCTGTCATACATCCGAATGCATGTAAAGCATTTTTTTATTTACTTGGTATCAAACAGGCTACAAGTTTAACATCAGTTATTAACTATCATTTTCATGGAAGATCCAAAGAGACCGATAAATTTCTTGATTTTCCAATCGATCTACAGGGCCATCGGAAACAGGGGAGGGGGAGGGGCCTGGAGCCATCCAATAACTCTCAAACTATACTATACTTCCTTTTCGACAGTGTACTGACTTAGAGACAATAAAATAGGCAGCCCCCTCCCATGAATTTTGTTCCGGCAGCACTGCTCTAAAACACTGCGGGAAACTTTAATAAACAGATATATCCCAATTACCCAGCTCACGTACCTGTAATGTTGTTAATTGTCGAAGAAGAGCAGGGATAGAGGTTTCAAAATCTAACACCATATCTGGACCATACTCTACCTAAACACAGAAAATTACAAGCATTAGCTGTCTTAAAAATTACTTTCTTCAAACACTCTACCATGACACTAACAATTCTTAGTATATAAAAACGCACAAGCCATTAGCACTGCACAACCTCAAAGTGGCATCGAAAAGTTCATTAATACAAAACGATTTCTACTCTGAGGGGTTTCGGTCCGCAAACAAAATTTGCATTTCTTCTCGTGTTTCTACTTCTTAGAAACATTTTAAAAAAGTATATGAAAATGCAGACTTGACACTTAAACAGTAATATATCTAGTGTCTGGAATTATTCAACTGTTTTTGCAGTGTATACTTGATTTTTTTTTAAATTTGAAGCTTCTTGACTAGTCCGTAAAAAAAATTAATTTTTACATTGCCATACTCACGCACAGAAACAGCATCAAGCTTTTTACTAGTCTTTATTGTTAAAATGACTCTAACGTAACAACATATACCATAATGACATAAAAATATTCAACACAAGTTACTCTAGATTTTATCACTGGATATAAATTTACTTGAGTACTTTTATGACCATTACAATTCATTTAATATCTTCAATCACTTAATGAATTCAAAAAACAAATTTAATCTATAATTTTTTAGAAAACACAAAGAATCAACTAAAGTTGTTTAGAGTGACACATAGCTAATCAAGGGTTTTCATGTAAAAAGCAACTGAACTAAGACAGTTTTATGAAATAAATGCTTCACTACATACCCATGATAAAATCCTTTTGATGTTTTTTGAAGAGTCTTTAGATTTCATTACAAAATACTGCTTCCTTATCCTCCATCCTTAAAAAAATAAATTAAAATCAGTGGTATATAATAAGGGCGTGATTTGCTGGAGAATGAGCAGAATGGTTTCGACATTTTTTGGTGGCAAGCTCCTTTCTAACTTACTGTGACTTTATTAGGATTATTGTTCGGATCTGCCCCTACCCTGAATATTTTAGGCCACATTAACAATATACCATCCTTCAAACTATAGATACATGCTACATGCATTGGAACCAGGGCAAATGTTCTAGTGGGTTTGATAGGCAATAAGCAGAAAAGAAAACTTCAAACACAAAAAGCCATTTGACACATAAGCTACAGAAAGCAACCCACCAAGATCATGCAGTGGCTCAGCAAGTTCCCAGTTTGGCTCTGACCTGAAAAACATGGCAGCTTGCTGTTGACTGACCTCTAGAATTAAAAAAGTCATTTTAATCTTGTAAGCCTTGGAAGAGGGCATAAACAATGTGTTAATTGAAGAAAAGAGAAAATTCAATCATTGTATACAAATTTACTTACTTTCGATTTCATCTGAATAATTTCTTGGGTCTAGGAACTTCTTCACTGAGATATGATTTGCTAAAACTCTGTTAGACATGATTGCATCCATATATTGCTGATGGAAAAGATAAATTTCAAAGGTTAATTAAGGTTAAGACCTTAAAAGTCTGGATTCATTTTGAAAACTTTACGGAAGTTATAAAGGATTCATTAAATATGAATAGTTGTATACTTATCAAATGGGTAGAAATTAATAAATTTAGCTTTTACTAAAGTGGTTTTGGTTTCTGATGATCTTTTACATCTTCACTTCAGTTTGGATCATACATTTATCAATTTTGGTATTCAAAATAATAAAGATAAACTCTTTTTGGAAAACTGAACAAAATATTTGGACAGATAATTCAGTGGCACAACATAGATTTCTACACAGTGTATAATGGTTCAAGAGGTAATGAGTGCAACAAGATGATGATTTTCAAGCTCTTCTGGTCTATTACAATAACATCACAAAGACAACTGATCAAAACACAGGCAGTGGCAGAGCTACATGAAGACTGGAGGAGACTTATCCTCCTTACTTTTTCAAAAATGTGGTTTGTGTGATGGTAGGGAGAGGGAAAGTATCCTTGTCTCAATAATATTTTTGAATTGTATCCTGCATCCTTACCTGTAAACCTGCCCTCCTTTCTTGAATAAATGCACTGTCCATATTGCCAAAAACTTTTTTGGGTGGGAGTGGTAAATCAAAACCAGATGCCTTCATAATTAAAAAATCATCTGTTACATTAAAAATTTGCCATTGAGGTTGAAAAGCAGTTATGTATCATAAGTTCTGACTTTTTAAGGGGTTTATAGGAATTACTGACAACTAAAATGAATATTACAATAATATCTTAAAGTATTTTGCTTCATTAACTTAGAATTCTAAGATGCTATTTTGGTTTAATCTATCAGAAAGATATTACTAAAAAGAAATAAATTAAACCACACTGGCAAACTCATGGTAAAAGGCCATTTTAAACTTTTACACAGCAGATTCAGAGCTTAAATCAATAAGGCTAGGTGAAAAATACAATAAAATTAACATTACTTTGAAGCAAATGTAGTTCTGGCAAGTAACATATGATTGCCTACCTGTAATATTGAATGCAAAGTAACAAAGTCATTATATCTGTGTTGAACCTGTAACAGAATAATGAAATTTTTAGAAGGCAATTAATTTAAAGTACCTACAAAAGAGGAAGCACCAAAAATTTCCTAAGTGACTTACCAATACCTTGTAATTTCTATGAAACAGTAATGTTTGAGTTCACCAGGTAAAAAAGAGTTGTGGGAAAATTTTTTAGCAAGGAACTTGTTAAATCAAATCGCATTTTTAAAATTCCAGTGCTTGATTCTAAACAATTAGACATCTCTTAAACTAAACTGACTTAAACTGCAAGAATAAATAACCAACTGTAGGACATTCTAAATTAACAATGATGTAAAACAGGGAATTTCAAACTGATAAGCAACTTATTGAACGATATAGCGTCCTATGTTTAAACAATACTTTAACAAACAACTACTGAAGTGAGCATACCTCCCATCTGTTTTCTGGATTTGGTCCTCTTCCAACCTTCATAACAAATTCCTGCAATGAGCAAAGTTTTCATAAAAAATACAAGACATGATAAGAAATTATCAATCTAACTTGTGCTTTTATGCAAATAGGAAGTGATTAGCATAAATAAAAGCTTTGCTTTACATTGACTTCTAACAAAAACCAACCACTGCTACCTCAAAAAACATTACATACAAGTAAGTAAATGCATTACAGGCAATCAAGGCAAACACCTAAACAAAATATATTTGACTGTTTTTATGCTTCTGTAGGACTCTGCCTCCATGAGTGCCTAATCATAATAAAGATTGATGAATCTTATAAGAAATTAAGATGTATAGAAATAAAACTCTCTCTGAAATAAAAAATGCCTCTAATACTATACTGGAAGAATTGTTCTCACAAAATTGCTAAGATTGCAGTGCCATCAGAAAAAGTCCATATGACTCTTGTTGAGGAGGAGGGGTTGAAGGAAGTGCAGGGCATTTTAATACTTTTCGGTAGCAATAATTTGGTGCTGATTGTATTTCTCCAGTCTCTGCCTCTGATGACCCTAATGTATCTAAATTAAATTTCATAGGTCAGATTGTTTTGCTTAGCATCTGGTGAACTTGTTATAGTGTTGCCTGCAACACCTGCTTGTAGCTGACGGATTGATGTTGTTTGCAGCAAAAGAAAATATGCTTTCCTGCCTGGTACTGCTGTGCACAGACAACTTTTGGTCCAACTTATTGTGAGTCATTTGGCAATGTTTGTTGTGACACACGAAAAAAAGGAATAGATTCCAAACACAAACAAAATTTCTGTGTAATAATTCAATACTGTTATCACAGAGTGCAGATTCTTTATACTTTAAATTGCTGACTGCCTGAATACCAAAACTGTACTTTATGTAACTGTTCATTCATTGTTTGAATCAAAGATATTCCAGAAATCCCCCTAAAAAGTTACCTTAAAATTGAAAACCCTACTTTTGCACAATTAGAACCATCTGTTACTGACAGTTGTTGTATCACTTTTCCAAGAGAAATATCTTTTTATTCATTATGTTGAATCCTTCCTATATAAGGGACCTCCAGGTCAACTTCACCTGTTAATGCTACCCCTTTTCCAGATTTCCACTATACTGGGGGCGTTTTTACCAAGTGTTTTCCAACATCTTAATCGTTTATCTGTTTTAATATCTTTAGGTAACTTGTAAATTATTTTAGCGGTGCATTGATACAAACATACATACATTCAAACACTTAACCATTAAACATCTGGAGAAAATCTCGTTGATCATGTGAATCTACTAATCATCAGAGTGGGGCAGGACGTCCGTGTTGTATTGTGAGTGGCAAATGAATGGGGGCCATTTGAACAATGTTTTTTAATAATCCTTTACGTCCATCTAAATATTAAGTCACATATCTAAGGATGCTGTGCAAGTGAAGATTAAATAGAACTTACAAATGATTTTGCATTTTAGGGGCCATGGAGGGAAGGTCATCAAGGTAGGCCCTTTACACTTGAAGGAAATTACATCATACAAACCGTGTGTCCATCTTTTACAAAGAAACCCTCGATGAAGCATGCTTGGGGTGTTGTGTCATCCAAAGTTCTTTTATAAGCAGTTGCCATGTCTAAATGTTTCAGTGTTTTATGTTTGTGACATCTATGACCATGTCAGCACGATGTATGCATTTCACATGCTGTGTTATTGAGCAAATCAAGTCACATGATGCATCCTTCTTGGGAAACAAGGCCTAAAACCCAGACTTCCGTGATGACATCATAAGCAACTTCCCGTCCTCGCTCAGAACCAATACATCAATACAGCATGGGCCTGTAACAATTTTGGCACAAGAATGTTGGTCAGATTTATTGCTTCATCTCAATCAGTGCTCGTGTGTATCGTCGATAAGATTTTATGATTTTTACGCAATATCGTCGAGGACTAACTCGATGAGGGGGGGGGGGGCTTGTCGCTTTCTCGCATTTTCAAGTCCAATTTTCACTTAATAAACCTTTCTTAAATATCAAACCATAAAACCAACATTAATCAAAGCACAAAAATTCTTATATGTTAAATGCCATCGGTGGTCTATTCTTCAAGCATCAAACAAAAGGGGTTTTCGAGCCTCGATTAAGCCACAAAGACGGCTTATTAAAGCACAAGAAATGGCTTGTGGGGGCCAAAGGCTTATTCGAGAGTAGGGTCTTCTTGGTAATTTTTTCTTCCAGGTTGGGGCTCGTTCGTGGAGCCATTTCCAGGATTAATGGTGCAAGGCTCAATTGACTTTTTAACTTCAGAGGTTCAATACAAAGTTAATTCAGGCATGGTAAATTAATAAAAATTGCAGAAACAATATTTATTTATCAACATCACTCGTATTTGTGTAAAAACCTTTTTATTAAACTTGCAGTAGGGTTTATAGCGCAATATTTCCGCTCAGCATATATCTACGATTCCCTTATACCGAATAAACTATAGTCTTTTCAGCGAGCAAAATATGATTAATTCTTGAATCGACTCTACCAAATTACACATCCTTCGATCATATCAAGTAGAGTTTCTCATTATATATGAAATGGAAATTATTACTTCTATAATTGTTTTCTAATAAAATAAAATTTGCTGTTACAGAAAATTGGTAAATCAGTATGGATGTCTGCCACTATTATCTTTGAGGCCACAACATACATCATACCACAGAATAGTACATCAGTGAAAAGGTGAGGGGCTACAGCCCAACCCCTCCCTTTGGTGTGCCTGTTTATAATAGCTCAGCCTCTGCTTGTTCTTTAGTTGTTCTTAACTGTCAACAGCAGAGGGTCGTGCTTTTAATAAACTGTTCTTTAAAAAAGAGTTTAAAAAGACTCTAAAAACACAGGTGTCTCCGGTAAAACCCCGAAGGCAGGGTTTTCCCCGCGAGCTATTGACCGATCTATATACATGCATCATACCCACTTTCATTTTTACAGTAAGTTGCGTGACTGACTCGAGACCAAATGTCAGATGGCCTTCACATGCATTTGCGTATGGTCTCCTTGTTTCAGTTTTCTCCCTGTTATATAAACTACTCAGTTTCAGGCACTTACAGTCTCACTAAATGATGGGCCATTTAGTGGAGCCACTTCACAATAACTTCCCAATTTACTCTTGTAGTCGAACTAAACCCAGAAAGAAGACTCTATAACCTTCTCAATACATTTGCTACACAACTAGACAAGTGAGATTATAGAGAACTGGCAAAGGGATACTAAAAGAGAAACAGTTCAAGCAAGTTTTGACAAAATAAAATCTTCCATTGTAAACACACTGGAGTGAATACTCATAACACATTCAACTCTACAGACAATGAAACGCATACGTTGTATCGATGGTAGGCGAAAAAGCCTTAAGGGCGGTTGAAAAAGCACAAACATTTAGTAATTTCGGCAGGGTAAGAGCGATTTCTTGAAAACAAATACAAGTACTACTGGCCTTGTTGTTTGGATATGGTCTGAAAGAAACGGTCTTGAAAGTCGTGGGAAAATATTATGCAGCCTTCCACAGGGAGGACGATGCCACAGGGAGCATGGAAATACATATCTATCAGGCGTATCTTTCAGGTCATTGACAGAAATATGAGGCAATTTGTCCTTACAGACCAACCCTCTTTTACAAAGCACATATATTTGTCCTTAAGGGAACTGGGAAGGAATACACTGACTGCTGACGACAAACTGATTATATACATCGCCGTGTTAAAAAAGAAACACCGAAAATTAACAAACTTATGGAGGGATATGCAATGCATTACGAAAAAAATCAGTACCAAAACTAAAAACAGAATCTCGTCAACACATGTGATTGCAACTTCATGATTAAAGACAACATACTATTACAGATACATGGATGAATTCCTTGAAAAAACAATCGACGTACCAATGGCTCTTGAAATTAGGCCATACACCTTTCTGACAATTCAACAAATCAAGCCTAAAATTCCATTGAATCTTGAGTAAACAGGTTTAAAATTTAAGGCCATATTCAAAGTATCAAGGCTCTTGCAGGACCATAGATGGGTCGCAATTTCGGGTTCGATTTCGGATAGGACTTTAAGAATACTTAGACCTAAGAATATTCTTAATTTAAGGTCTGTATATGAACTGCGTGATAGAACTGTGTGATTTCATATTTGATAAATAGGGTACTCAATAAACCAAAAAATATGCTTAATTCAAAGATACACACATTTTTATGTGATTCAGTTAAATCAGAGCGGAGAAAAGGTATTTTTCAAATGCAAAAAAGTGGAATGATCCAGGTAACATATGTTTTAAGCTATCTGTTTTAGCCTTTCTATCAATCACAAGTGCCTGTTTTCTTTTTTTTGCTCGCATTTCTTTCGCAAATAAATAATAGTGTATTCAATGGAATTACAAAATACAATACTTCAATTTTCACAACATCAAAATGTATTGTATTCATTAGTTATAACGTGAAACGATTCATCACCAAATCTGTGCATCTCTGATTTCCCCAATGATATGAGCAGCCCTTTGAAGTGCCTAAAAAGAGCTTTCGTGTTACGATAAATCCCAAAAATGAATGCATGTCAAAAACAAAAACGAAGAAATTGGCTTTAATGAAAGAAGCCATTACATACAGCAATTTACGTCATAAAGAGGCCACTGGCTACAAACGCTATACTGCAGAAGTCCCTAACAGCAAGAGCTTGTGAAACTGCATATTGTTGCAGTAACAATTTCTTTCTCTGGAGCATTTAGATTAGGTATTTCAATTAAAAGGCATACCTTGAGCATGTTTGAAGCTTCAGCTCTCTTCATGTTGATGTGATCCGATTCACTAAGTAGATCTTCTAACAAATCATGCTGGAAATCGCGAAAATGGAAAATGAGTTAGAATGCCTAGTAGCATGAGGGTACAGTTCCTAGTCCATAGCGGCAACAAACACTCACTTAGAAGTCCTTGCAATATTCATCTTTATGCAGATTATTATTAGTTTTGATGTGCCTGAATAATTTTTCTAAAAATCGCCTGTACTTCATAGAATAGACCATCTCGGAGATCGCGAAGCCATGACATAAGTTGGGCGATAACCGCAATAAATACAATGGCGGGCTATATCATCGAGATTTGTACATTCCTCTGTAGCTCAAACTAGGTCCATTGTTAATCAACGAAATTCAGATTTTCATTCTAATAGTATTTATTTCTATTCTGAAGAGGTTTCACGACCAAAAATAAATTTTTTTTAAAAAACCAGTTTTTCACTGGTTTGCCCCATCTGAGGGACTGGATTTAGCTATAGAACAACAGAATTCTATTAAGGCGTCGCGAACTCTTAGATGGTCTATCAAGACAGCTTTGAGAAAAAAACACTAGCATGGCAAATGGAAAATAAGGTTATAAAAGGCATATATACATTTCTTTAGTTAATAAGCCAGACAGATTTTCAGAACAATAAACCCGTGGTCGACAAAAATGCCAGGGCCGCCGAGAGGGGGCAAGGGGGCAAATTTCCCCAGGTAACTGGAAGCATCGAGGTGTAAACGGCCTCATAAAGTTATGATTTCTGTTTTGAAACAAAATTGATTAAAAGTAACAAAATTCTACCCGTAAGTAATAAAACTTTTAAGCGAATGAACAAATTTAATCTAATTTAAAGGGCATGGTCAAACAAAATTTTCTGCAGGAGGTCTCATTTTCCGCTTTTGCCCCAGGGCCTTCAAATTCCCTCGGCGGCCATGGTAATGGTGAGCATAAATACAGTAATAAGAAATTGTCAGAAAAAAGTAAGTTTCGGTTTTAAAAGTACCTTGTACAAACTTGCAACTAATTCACTCTGTATTCTCTCTTTAACATAGTTGACTAAAAAGCACATGATTGCCTTGGGAACACTGAAAAATAATAATACTAGTTTATCGGGAGCTGGACTGGTATTAACATGATTTTAATTCTGACAAATATTTTGATGCAATGAAAAAATATTGATTTCATCTAGTTGCGTTGGCTGTTTCGAGGTAGTGTTGCACAATCTACAAATTTTTTTAGAAATAGCAGAATTCAAGCAAAACCAGAAAGCATTTTAAAAGAAGGCTTAAAGAACCATGAAGCTGAGAATTAAAATGGAGCCTAGCTGAGAAAAAAGAATTAATACATAATACCAATAATTAAATCATTAATTTGGTGGGAAGTCGGTGCGAAGTTGAATAATGACAGTGGCAAATTTGTAATTAAAGGCAACGTGTCGCGCCGTTCATTCGCTTACCGAAACAAAGAATAATGTTTCTATTTTCAATACAACAAACAATAGCCAATGAACAGCGCAACAAACTGCCTTTAAGCCTGGTTCAAATGATTTTCAATTGGCGAACCCCTGGCTTTGCATCATTCGCAAAAAAGATAAATAGGGAATCGAAATCTATAAAAAAATATATGGTGACTGACCTGTCTTGGATGTTTTTGCGAATGATATTAAAATAAGACTTGATTAATCTTTCTGTAAAGAAAAAATAAATATGTTATAGTCTTTCATACACCAACTATCTTACTGTTGATTACTTATAAATCTATTAATCAGACTTGACAGGAGGGCCTTATAAATGTAAGCCATACGTTGAGCCACTGTTAAAAACTCTTCAGTTTTAATTTGTCAAGTGCAGGAATGTCGTTTGAATCTAATGAAGAAATACAAGAAATTCTCAAGGTCGGCTCAAAGCTTGGTTACCAAACGAACAGTGTTGCAAAGGAGAATTAAAGCCTGGTTTATTTACATAACCAGGACACTAGGAACTGAGTCAAGAAAATTGCATAACTTAATAGTGAACAGAAGTTAAACTAAGAAGATTCTATTTTCGCTGCAGGTGGAATCTAAGAATGCAGATATGCATGGTTGGTGGTAAAGGAGGTGGCAGCCACCATTAAGTACCATAAGAAGGACTATCTCATGTGCTAATCCCAAAGGGGGAAATGCTTTGAGTGAAGACTTCAAGCTGATTTCACATGATTTTTCCATAGTATCTAAAATTTGATAAAAATCTAATGGCGACTATGTCCTGATGAGCAAACAAAAGATAACATATTCGATGTCAGCCACGAATAGGGTCCTAGTTAAAAGCAAGAAAATGAGGCTATTGTTTAAAGATATAAAAGCAATTTGGGTTTTGATATGAACATCTAAAATGATATGAATACAATTTTTTTCACAAGCCTATAGTACTGCACAATTTGAAAATAGCGCGGAAAAGCGGCTACATAGCATACTTTTGGTACGACACTCAAGGGACAGAGTGACCAGTGGCAATATAGTGACACACATTGTGATACAAACATCACATAGTGACAAGTGAGTAAAGGTAAGCAGATATTTATGTCCAGATGCGGATCGAATGCAACGCAAGAAGAAGAATTAAGCGTTTTATTGGTTATTCCCTTATATTCAATACCCTTACGACTGACGAACGAAAAGCATTTTAGCATGTAGTCAATTCAACAAGAAAAACAATATTCCCAATAATTTGTTCTATAGAGACATACATAGTAATGTAGGGAAAGAGGACAGATCATACAGACGAAACGGAAACTGTTAAAGGATATTGAAAATGAAAAGTACTGTTTACCGGTCTGTCATAAAGCGCTCGATGCCATATAGGCAGAACTGTACACGCTATATGGTGTATAGAGCAGGACGGTTCTAAGCTGCTATTCCGAGTTTCACGCTTGATGCAATCACCAGGCAACTGTCCTGTTCTATACATCAGGCAACTTAGAATCGTCCTGTTCTATACCTAAAGAGAAGCAAACTAGTCTCCTTGTCGTATTCTGCTGACTACATCTATGTACTCTGATGCTCAAGAACAAATCTATATTAAACTGAATTTTTTGACCATGGGATGGGAAAGGACTGCCATTTCGGTCTATGGAGCATTATCTGACCAGAATCTGACTCCTTCCTCACCCCTTACAAAAACACCCCAAAACCCTTGAAATCCTTGACACTCTCATTTTTCAAGCTGAATCCACAAAATTCAAAATCCAAAATAATACATACGGATTAGCTCAGAGTCCATCTGTTCCCTAGACGAAAGTTCGCGTTGTTTTTGACTCTGTAGTAAGAAAAAATTTAATAATGAAAAAGCATTGATAGGAACTTCACAAACAGAGTTATAAAATGGAAAAAATTACAAAATTTGATTCTAAAACGTGCGGAGAAAGGATCAATCGAGATAATGGATCTAAACACAAAGTCTTAAACAATCCTCTTTTTTCAGATAGATCAAACGATGTCACGTCTCAATCATCTCATGAGAATGCTGCCATTGGTGCGATGAAATTATTTTAAACAAAAGCATTTGATGGTTTCCAAAAGAACTAAAAAAATTCAGAAAATGGAACTCACTTCTTTGAAGGACATATCCATAGTCTCTACCGGCAAAGGGCTATCACTATTTCGACCTCCTTGCTTTCCAGACACCCAAGACATAAGTCCCTTTGATGGCATTTGTGACTGAGGTACCTGGGGCTCTGCTGCTACTTTTTCAGGTATCTATGATACAAAAAAATGATTTTGAGCACTGACGTATATTTCCCTAATGTTAAAAATATATTCTTAGGCTATCCGAGCTTAGACAGAGATTGCTTAAAGTCTCTTGCGCAACCGACATCCTTATTGGCAGCTATCTTGAGAAATTAATTGTGTTTTGTATTTTCATGCAGTGCGACATGCAGTACGGTTTTGATAATACTATCGCAAATCATGTCGGTTGCGCAAGAGCTTTTAATGGGATCGATCCAGGTGGGTTGTTTACATTGGTTGTTTGATTTAGGCCTACTTTGATTGCACTGCACGCAAGTTTACTATTATGGTCGGTCTTTCTGGCTTGAGTGTGGTCAAAAACAAAACAGCTTATAAAATTCGCGCAGATAATACCACTATAAACATCGAGATGGCTGCAGGAGTTTAGGTTTGTGCTTTCCAAAGCATAGACGCTATCAAACCAAAGGATGACATAAAACTGTTTAGCCATTGCATAGATATAGCGTGCATGCCTGTCGATGTGGAAAAGACTAAAGAAATATAGTTGCTACTCTAAAAAATGTCAAGGGAAGTATTGACAATACTGATTACGTGAAGGAGCATTGATATTTGGAGAGAGTGATGAACACTAAAAAAAAAGGATTCGGGCCCAGTTAATTATGTAGGCTCAGCCAATCCATTATTTCTAAGCAAACTTATGAAGGTAGGGGTGGTAACTCAGCAATTTTCAACGGAATCAAAAAAAAAGCATGAAGTTTTATCCTTCTTGCATACTAACAACCTATATATTACAAATACCTGTCTACCATACACTGTATATTGCAACATATCATATATATTCATAAGTATTTGACAAAACAATCCCAATACCTCAAAGTTTCCAGGCAAAGGATTTGTTTCAGCCATTCCATTAGGCTTTCGTCGACGTGACTGAGAATAAAAAAATAATGAGATTAGAACTAAAATTAGAGATGAGATTAGAAAAACTGATGTTTCAAATTCAGCTTAACCTACCTGTATAAAAAAGGATTGAAATATAGACAACATCATGATTTAAATTTTGATAATGTTCAAAAATACAAGTCTAATAAACCAAATATTTCAGTATAAGAGGTTGAAGCGAATTGACCATTGATACTGAACAAGATGGCAGATTGTTCTAAAATAACCTTGGACACATAAAAACTTAAATTAGAAATATGACGAAACGTATTCTTTACTGACTTTGAAAGTAATGTCCCAAAGTCCCAATCTTTAAAAAATGTTCAACTATTTTTTCTTTCACCTAGAAGGCATCAAAATAGAATCCAACTGAATATCAAGCAACATGAATGAAAACAGACTTACTAGATCATTGGAAGCGAGCATAGCAGAAACAACCGATGCTCCATCGGTAAAATCCGGGTGATTTGTGTTGATGTAAGACAGCTCTATTGATACTAAATTTTCAACCTAAAATATAATGATATTGAAGCGATAATCTTCTGTAACAGAGGCATGCATTAATGAACTATTTATTTGGCAAGTCAACATATTGTTATTCTAATAAATTGAACTGATATACGTAATGACAAAAAGAGGAATATTAGCATAAACACGATGAAAATTTATTATGGTTCGTATCAAGGCCATTATTACTATTACCATGTTCTGCAAACCTTAAAAACAGTATCAAACGTTGCATACCAGCCTAGCAGAAGAGCATTATTATTAACTAATACTGCTATTACCAGAACTCAACAAATATTGGGAAACAACGCTAACTAGCATCTGAAAATAGTATGCAGATTTGATATTCCAGCTCTGAAAATAGCAATTCAGGCAAAGTATTGTATAGACCCTTCATTATCTAAATGGTCTCTCCATACCCCAAAATCTGACTGGAAAAACTTACTTGATCCGTTATAAGGCCAACATATTCAGACAAATAACAAAGAGCATTACATGAATGAAATAAATGCAAGGCTACTGAATTTGGTTCTGGATACTCACCATTGAATTGGTTGGCGGTAGACGTCTCTGCAGGAGAAAACTAACAACATCAATTACTCTGTCGTTGAGCTTTGGAAAACGGCGTATCTCCAGCACCTAAAAATGAAAAACTCTGAATATTACTGGAGTTCTATAAGGTGTACATTCATGGTGAGGTACCCAACACCATTGCAAAGGTTTGATTGGCAACCACACTAATGCAGTCCACTAATATTGAGAATATTCTATCGCATTTGTTATTTTCAGAGCTCGAAATTTCTACGTACTTTGTTTCAAATGATTTTGATTCTAAAACCCTTATGATTAAACAGAAAAATATCTCTTTGAAGTAAAAAAGCAAGATTTGCATTGACAGTATCCTAAATAAAATCGGATAAACTTAGTCGAGTATTAAAAAAATGAACTAAAACCCTAGCGACTGAAAAGGTTTGGTTACTTTTGTTACACAATCATTTTCAAATATATACTATTATGTCTTGTGCTACGAAGATAAAAACAAAGGTTTGAGTTGATATTGTAACTAATTGTAAAGCATAAAGACTACACTGTAACAGGTTATTATCTGCCAATTTCTATAGTCGTTTGAAGCCATGGGGTACTAGAGCAAAACCTAGTCTTGTGACGCTTCTGATTTGTGCATATTACTACTTGCTACTCTATCAAAAGGTATACGCTTAAAGTGCTTGGCCACCATACGCCTATCCGGAGCTATATGGAAAACGAAATCTTATGCGGATAAAAATTCTTTTTCATATCAGGTCTCGTTACAAACTTTAATTGCTTACAATAACAGATTATTTTCTTACCTGCAGCAACGAATGTTGAATAATTCGCTGCATTTCTTCGTGTACAAGTTCCACGCATCTCAAACTGGGTTCCTCTAGCCTCTGAATTTGTCTTTTAACCAACAGCTCGAATGATATCTCCGGAACAAACAATGCAGGCCTCGGACCCTAAATACGAAGAAACGCTTTGAACCCAAGAGCAAAATTCACAATTGTTTTCAAATGTATCGATCGAGGACATGGAAAGTCATCGCTGAAAAGTTCAATTTCCTTTTTTGGTAAATAATGAGCAAAAGTGAGAAAAACGTAAATTATTCAAAATATAAATGACTGGAGCTGTCTTCAGATAAAAGAATCAGAAAAGGAGGGCTTAAATTAATTGAAGGGGACGTTTCAAAGAGCTTCTGGCATTAGACGCAAGATGAAATTTAAAAATAACGAACGGGTTAGGCCATGCCGTATAAACTTCCATCTCAAACTATCTCGTTTGTCTAAATCACAATGACACTACTCAATAATAACTAAAATACTACCCATTTAACTACTTGTTTTGAAATGTTTTGTGAATAAAGCACAGAAAGCATTCAGCAAAGGATTTTGGTAAAACAGGCATTATTAGAAACTTTCCCGAAACTACAGCAAAACTACAGCGACTTTTGATCAAAAGGATGAAATGTAGCATACTTATAGAAATTATAGGTAACCAATTAAAAGCGGTATAAAAAGAGAGATACTTGATAAACGCAAAAGGATTGAGTAACGAAAACTCCCATCACAGGGAAGCGGATTAGTAAAATAAAGACACATTTACATATAATAAACTTTTGTTTATCATTTCAATAATGTACACTTGGCCAATCCCACCGAGAATGAAATAAGTTTAATTTATAGGCCAACTCTTCTAATGAACCATACCAATCTTTTCGCATAAATTACAATATAGTTTACATAGGAAAATGCTGTCTCTGCCATGTTGCTGGATTTCATGGGGGAATTTGTCGGCAGCCCATCAACCCCTCCCCCCAAACGAATCAGGTTTAATAGAGCTTTATGGCTGTCCTCGAAAAAAACCCATCTTTCCTATCATCTTTGGACGGTTACATTATTTGCTTCGTTCAGAGAAGCGGGCGATCAAACGGACGACAAATGTGAAGAATTCATCAAAAAATAACTTTAGCAACTGTATCAAGACTAGAGCTGGTGTTCCATGTTTTCAAGGAAGGTTTTAAAAGCTTTAGCTTCCTTGCCAGAAAGCGGATTGACATTTTTCCGGCGTATAGAGGGGTATTATCTTTTGGCGTGCGATACAAACTGAAAGATGCATCTGGTATTCAAAATCTAGTTTTGGTGGAACAAAAGCCATAAAACATTATTGGTGATGACAAGCATGTTTCTTCTATTACGGCAATAGCATGCTGGTATGAACCCTGCCACGATGCAAGATTACCAGAATGATAGGCCCTGGCAAGGAAGCTTGAGAGAAGCAAGATTAACAGAATACTTACTGTTGCATTTCTTATGGCAGTTAGAATATCTTTGGTTGACAGGCCACCAAGAGCATCCATTTTCCCTAACGTTGCACCGAATATTTCATGAAAGATGTAGCAAATACGTGCACCTCCACAGCTGAAAAAAAGCAGCGACAACATAAATGTTAGAAGAAACAACGTTCACCAAACAACAAGGTATTCAAATTTTGCTATGTATCTGTAGTTTGATCGCAAGGGCTGATGCATTGAATTGCTGTCCCATTTGGGGAATTTGAAAGTCGGAAGAGCTGGTGCTGGTAGAATAGTTCTTAGCCACACTACAAATTAACCAGAATAACGATAATAAAGTTAGCAAATAAATTTAGTACCAGAATGAAAATATAATAGTTTTATCGTTAAAACACGACGTTTCGAGCATGTACTCGTTATCAAGTACAACTATTATATTTTCATTCTGGTACTAAATTTATTTGCTAACTGTATTATCGTTATTCTGGATAAAGTACAACGCGCAACGTATATATCTAATTACAAATTAACCATCAGACAATCTCAGAATATAATAAATCGGCTTAGCCCCTAGCTTTAAACCTGTTCCTTCTCGGATTCTTGAGTAATCCACTAGGAGGGGCAATTAGAATTGTAAAATTACAATATGACCCATATGCACACATTATTAGCATCCTACCCGTTGACATCAATTGTTACGATAGATCAATGTCCATTGCTGTAATTATTGTTGCAGTTTTTACCTACCCATGCAACAGTCTCCAAAAATTATATGAGATCAAGAATGATAATAAAGTATTTATTTGCTGGAATTAAAGTCAATACCACTGGGGTAAAATACTACCCATTATCCATTTTTCGAATTCCATATTCTTTTAACGTTTTTAGTTCTATCACCGCTTTCAATTTTACTTGACAACTGGCTATGCTCGAAACGTCGTTATTTATTTCAAAAAAATTTTCCTGGTACAATTTACTTACGTTGATCGTTATTATAGCATTATATTGTACTGCACGCAGTCTAGTATATTTATGGAACCACTGGGGTACCCTGCAATGATACATAGGGTATCCCAGTGGTATTGCTTATAAGAGACAAGCCCCTCCGACTCTATAACATACTCATACAAGCCCAATCTTCGTTATGTATAATCGAAACGACCCCCTAAGAAATTTATTTTTGCTTCGCTCAGTTAAAAAGATCTGCAGAAAAAAGGCGTGGTGAAAATATGGGTACGACAACAGATCATCAGCTCATACAACCACGAGGCAGGGAATTTAGAAAACAGATTTATATAAATAATCTTGATGATTAGTTCTTTGAGCCATGTCAGTCAAGAAGCATTAATGTTTAGTGAACTTACATTTCTGTGGTGGTAATATTCCTGACAGTCCCTTCAATTGTTTCACAGTAGGTCGATGCGAATTTAGTAATTATTTGAAGAATCATAGATCCCTAGAAATGCATTAAAACAAAAGGTTTAGATCAGGGATGGAAAATTCCGGTAAAAAGGTGGTCCCCCGGTGGGAGACCAGCAGCTTTTCAGCGGTCTACAACATATGGCTTGGGTCTCCCAAAGAAGAACTATGAAGACAAGGCTAGACATTTCCATTAAAGATTTGATCGCCCGGCGGCTAGTCTGTGTAACGATAAACGGTCGTTCTGGGTGCGCGGGAGACCGAATCGTTATTAATGCTCCAATGAAAATTAATGCTCCAAACAAAGTGTCTATCAGAAGTGAACCCACCATTCATGCGGAAATTCTTCGAAAAGAAAAACATAAAATATGAATACCGAATATAAAAACAAATACATTTGGAGCTAATTCTCTTATATCTAGAGGTGCTCCCCTTTGGAACATGCTACCCGATGCCATAAAAAATGCTAGCTCGACGGCAATATATAAAAGAAAGATCAAACAATGGAATGGGGACAAATGTAACTGTCAAAAATGCAAATAACCGAAATGTGGGTATGATGAGATCCTAAAAAAGTTGATTAAAAAAAATTGTTATTATTTCTCTCTTCTGATTATGTTTTAATTTTGTAACTTTGTAGAAATGTAAATAGTTGGTATGAATTAGCTTTTTAAGCCATGTATGGCACCAACTGTAAATAATTTTATAACAATAATAATAATAATAATGGAAACTTTTCATTTTGAATTCCTGTTAAAACTACAATTACAAATCTCACTATTACAAGGTAATTTGTAACTGGCTAGCCTGTGTTTACAAAATAAAAACTATTACATCGTAGTAATGAGAAAAAAAAATTGTTAAAAGGGGTGTAGCTCTGGATTAGTCCAAGTTTTGTTTCTACAGCAGAATATACAGTATGTGGTGCGAATGGAGATGCTTGTAAGTTTGGAGATGAGGTAGCGTTTCTGTTGATGATCAATGGACAAAGAGTCACACATGTCGATGAATGAGCTGCAGGAGTCGCCAATAATAATAATAATAATGGAAACATTTCATTTTCAATTCAACTTAAACTACAACTACAAATCTCACTATTACAAGGTAATTTGCAATTGGCTAGCCTGGTTTTACAAGAAAAAACTATAACAATCGTAAGGTAAAAGGAAAAACTGAGAAAAATAAAATAAAATAAAACAACTAAAGTTAAAAAGGATGTAATTCCGGAATAATAATAATAATAATAATAATAATAATAATAATAATAATAATAATAATAATAATAATAATAATAATGGGTATGACGTAAAACTGCACCCGGTTGTGGAGTTTCAACGTGGGAGAATGAGGTTACCCTTTGCCGCAACTACCTCCAGGTCACCCTTGGGCAAGGTGTACTACCTGTTAGCTCTCCCCGAGACCATGAAATGCCGGGTTGACATCCGGCGGGGGCTAGTCTGTCTCATGGGTAGGGGGGACTCTTTAGCCTTGGTCGGCAACCCCCCTAGTGATGGTGTCACAAAAAAAATACCAGTTGGGAACTTGCTACAAAGAACGACCTCTTTTATGAGTGAGATGAATCAAAACAGTGATTTAGATAACAGCGTAAAGGAGACTGGAACTGATGGTGAAGGTCTCTCGCTCGGCAGGTGTCCCATGGAGGAGCAGCGTGGGCCCGGTCGTCATCCTACTACTGCCAGAACTGGATGGTCGAAAAGTATGAATGTAGCAGTAATGGAGTGCTATTTTTTGAGTAAGCCTGTAAATGATGACGGAAAACCAGTGAGAGGCTATAGACGCAGAATGCATAACATTTGGAGAGAGAGACATAGCTTCAATCTGACTGAACAGAGATTATGTGACCAAGCTCGCATGATTAGAAAGAACGGTTGGCTGACTCATGTGGAATTGGAAGAAATAAAAAGAAGAGTTACAACAGAAGAGGAAGGGGTGATAGATGATAGTAGCGTCGGAGAGGAGACTGTAATTAATGAGATACCAGTGACTGAGCCTGAAATAGAACCTGTGGTAACTTTCCTGGAGAGAAGTGAGAGAGGCGAAGCGAATACAAAAATGATAGAAGAAATTATTGAAATCATGAAAGAAGGGAACATAAGTCAATCACGAAGTCTGAAAAAGGCAGACAGAAAATCTGTGAATGAGGCTGTTAAGGAGGTAAACGACGCCTTGATAAGCATCAGAACGGAAAACATAACTGACACAAACAAACTGATCAGTGCTGTTGCATTGTATGTTGCGAGGAAACTAGGCATAGGGAAACCAAAGATAGAAAATAAGACAAGAGAACCATGGTGGAAAAGAAGAATAAGCGAATCTATTAATGAACTTAGAAAGCACATTAACATACTTGAGCGCGAAAAGAGAGGTGAAGTATCGAAGAAAGGGAAATACCATGAACTGTCAAAAAAGTATAACATCACGAGAAAAGGAATCTCTACTGTAATTGAAGAGTTGAAACAGAGAATGCAAGCCAAGGCTTTCAAACTAAGAAGGTACGAGCAAAGGACGCGACAATACCAAATTAATCGAATGTTTCAATATGACCAAAAGAAGGTATATCAACAACTACAGGGTAAAGACAAAAGAGAGAATACAACACCAGATGCAGATGAAAGTAGAAAATTTTGGTCGAACATATGGGACAACGAAACACAGCACAATTAAAAAGGCTAAGTGGTTAGAGGAGTTAAAAAACAACAAACCTAATCTATCACAAAATGACATTGAAATAACAACTAGAATGGTAAATCAGCAAGCCAAGAAGATACCTAACTGGAAAGCTCCTGGCCCTGATGGAGTCCAGGGGTTTTGGATAAAGAAACTTACATCTCTACACGAAAGAATTGCTGCCCAACTCAATGATTTGATAAATGATGAAATAGAAATACCCTCGTGGATGACCACCGGCAGAACTGTGCTATGTCAAAAGGATCCAAAAAATGGCAATGCAGTGGATAACTATAGACCCATATCCTGCTTGCCATTAATGTGGAAGCTGTTGACAGGAATCTCTGGAAATGTCTACACGTTCTTGGATGAGAATGAGATGTTACCTGAAGAACAAAAAGGCTGTAAAAGAAATAGCAGGGGTACAAAGGATCAGCTTCTGGTGGATAAGACGATTCTTGCTGATTGTAAAAGGAGGCATAAAAACTTAGCCATGGCGTGGGTTGACTATAAGAAAGCCTACGACATGGTTCCCCACAGCTGGATAATAGAATGTCTAAGGCTCTATAGAGTATCAGACAATATTGTCAACTTTATAGAAAGATCGATGACCAACTGGAAAGTACAACTGACATCGTGTGGGGAAACTCTAGGGCTTGTAAATATTCGCAGAGGAATATTCCAAGGAGACAGCCTATCACCACTTTTGTTCGTCATTTGCATGATACCCCTTACCGAAGTCCTCAGAAAAGTCAAAATGGGATATACATTGGATGGTGTTAAGATCAATCACCTGTTGTTCATGGACTACTTGAAGTTGTTCGCGAAAAACGAGAATGAAATTGACAGTCTAACATCTACTGTCAACCTTATTAGTCAAGATATAGGAATGGAATTTGGGATAAAAAAGTGTGGTGTTGTGACCTTAAGAAGGGGAAAATTAACAGGAAGTGCAGGGATTGAACTTGTCAATGGGGAAAAGATCAAGGAGGTTGGTGAAGAAGGATACAAGTATCTGGGAATAACAGAGTTGGATAGAATAAAAGAAGAGGAGATGAAGAAAATATTTCAAAGAGAATATTTCAGAAGGGTTAGACTTATCATGCAGTCAAAACTTAATGGAAGGAATAAGATTAAAGCAACAAATACCTGGGCAATCTCCCTGATGCGCTATGGAGCAGGAATAATTAAATGGAGAAAAGACGAGCTAGAAAGTATGGACAGAAGAACCAGGAAATTAATGACAATGAGTAAAGAACTTCATCCTAGAAGCGATGTAGCAAGAATTTATGTTAGCAGGAAAAAGGGTGGTAGGGGACTGATAAGTTGTGAGTATTGTATTGAAAATGAGACAAACAACCTGGCTTGGTATGTGAAGCATGCTAGAGGCAATATTATGTCAAAAGTGAGAGACCTTGGGGCAATGAATACTGAGGAGGCAGTAGCACCGAATGAACATAAGAATGAGACAAAAAGGCGCTTGGAGAAACGATGGAAAGATAAGCCGATGTATGGGCAATTTACTAAGAATACTGACGGAATTTATTGGGAAAAAAGCTGGTCATGGTTAAGGAGCGGAGATCTGAAAGGGTGCACTGAAGCATTAGTGTGTAGTGCACAGGAGCAGGCGCTGCGCACTAATTATACCAAGCACTACATTGATAAAACAAGTGATACGCCTTTATGTAGAATGTGCGGTGACAAGGGAGAAACAGTTAGCCATCTGGTGAGCGAATGTGCTAAACTGGCACAGACAGAATATAAAAGACGACATGACAATGTGGCAAGGTATATTCATTGGTTGTTAGCGGAAAAGTGCGGATTTGAAAGAGCCACAAAATGGTATGAACAGAAACCTGAAGGAGTTTTAGAGAATCACAAGTTTAAGCTACTGTGGGATTTTATGATTCAATGTGATAGGGTTGTTGAAGCTAGAAGGCCAGACATTGTTGTCGTTGACAAGGAAAAAAAGGATGTGAAGATAATCGATATTGCCATTCCTGGTGATAATAGGGTAAAAGGTAAAGAACAAGAAAAAATTGAGAAATATCAACCATTAAAGGAGCAAATCGGAAATCTGTGGAATATGAAGAAGGTGACAGTCATCCCTGTTGTGATTGGGGCATTAGGGTGTATATCATATTGTTTTGAAGAGCACATGGAAAAGATCGGAATTGATGTAAAGTTACAGGTGATACAAAAGACAGCACTGCTAGGGACAGCCAGGATTTTGAGACAGACATTGTCTATGTAAACTTGAGATGACAGAATGGGACCTTTGTCAGCTTGTTGCTGACTGCTCCCTCCTATATTATCCGGACCAATTAACATCTAGGTGTCTGTGAATCACTTAATTAGCCATAATAGAAGAATTCTTCCTATAATCTGAAATTAAGTTTTTTGAGTACACGATGAAAATTACATACCTTGTCTGTAACTGGCTCACCATAAGAATTGAGCATATTTTGAAACTGGGATACCATGACGTTCACGCGAGATTTTAATTCTGGTAGACACTTTCTGATGTGATGCATAAGCAGCTAAAAAAAGACGCAGTTGGAAGAAATTGTGTCTGTTCGTGTTAATGTATACTCTAACATAAAGCAATACCATTATCCACTAACTTAAAAAGTTATAGCCAATTATTAGTTTACTTTGGTCACTCTGATACGGTTCAGTCAATATCCAACATAATTATTTAAAATAAGAAAAAATTGTTCATATCAAAAATTAAATCATCAGACGTTGGCGTAGTCAAGGATACAATACTAAAAAAAAACATTTTGGATTTTTATATTTCCTTTCGAAATATTCATTTTTCGTTGGATTGCATCATTTTTGTCGATTTGCGTTGGTACTCCTTAATGTTAGAGGTTCGAAATAATTTACATTGACTTTCAACCTAACATTATATGTTTAATAAAAGAAAAAATTTTCATTTACCCTATTCAACGTTCTTGTGAGGTATTTAGAACCATTACGGCTTGCAAGGATGGGATAGTGTCTTTGGAAGAAAGCTTGTTCATCCATCAAAGCATCCTTTATGCTCTAAAACCAACATAAAAAAATATAATAGAATAAAATTCATTAACGCTGGATATTAATGATAATAGAACCACTGCTTTGATAAACTCAATGAATTTCGAATTTTACTTCAATAATATTTGACAATAGACATAAACAAAAAATATTGCGAGCATTAATGTAACATGAGAATGGCATATTGAATAAAACTTTCAGACAGCCTTTTTCAAATACAAATTTTGTATTCTTACACATATAACAGAAAGGTGGTCCTACATGAAAAATTTATCACTAAGGCCAGGTGCATAGTGCCGGGTCTTCTTTATTTTAACCATCAAATAGTCGTTATAAATAATCACATATTAAAATGCAACAGGCTGTTTTTTTAATTGAGATATGCCAGAAAAAAACTACATCTATATTTCATGCGAAATATGTCAAAAAAGTGCTGGAACATCAGAAAAATTTATAAAATCGTCAGTACTCGAAGTAGAGATGTCTAAAAGCAAAGCGATTCCGCATTTGTCAACAATTCCTCGAGACTCAAGAGTGTCCCACGCGTAAAGAGACGACAATTTTAAAATAATTGATCAAAGAGAGGTCGTCTTTTCATCTAGATGGTTTGAAATCTTTCTAAACAAAGATCCCAACTTGCTTAGAGAAAAAGAGAGGTTTTCTATAAGTAAGAGGCTAGCTGTCGTTGACTGGTCAAAAATAGGAAACAAAATAAAATGGCTTTAAAAAAAGCAAACATTTTACAACATACTTAAAGCTTTTTCGTCTGACACTCCTCAGATCATAAAACGTCAGAATAGGTTCCGAAAAAACACGATGGAAAAATATATACCCAGTTGTGGATCGAAATAGGCCAATCAGAAAAACGCAAGCACAAGACCGGTATAGCTGACCAATCAGTGCCGCGAGCCTAAAGAAAAATTACCAATGGAGTCCAAGAGAGAAAACGAACTCCTTTTGTCTACACAATGGCGGCTTTTTCGTTTTTATGTAGATTGACTCCAAAACTGCTAGATGGAAAGACGACCGGGCTCTGCCAATTATCCGAAACATGTCGTCATTATAGAGTTTTGCACAATCTGGGTTGTCTAAAAGATGTTGACCAATGGCAGAATCACTTGTTTTAACAGTGTTTCTAGACCTACAAGATCGAGGAGGCTGTTCTCTTTGAGGGGCAGTTTTGTTTCGTATGTTGGAAGGAACATGCTGTTTTATCCTATCCCCAATCTTTGGGTTGTGCGCCCTACGTAGCCAGAATCACACTGGCACGTAAATTCATAAATGACGGAACTTTTTTGTTTGGTAGGGACGCAATCCTTTTGAATGGATGGAAGGGCTCTCCTAGTGCTGTAAACAATCCGAGGATTGACAGCAAAGAAACAATTGGTTATGGCTTGCCTAATCTGACTCTCGAATCGCAAGGAAGTGTTACCAATCCATGGTAGTTTCAAATAAACTGGGCACTTTTGCGGACCAAACTTTTGAACAGCCGAAAAACTTGCGATCTTCTCCTTAGTATAAGATAAAATGACGTCTTCAGGATAGCCGTTGTCCAAGAAGATCGTTTTGAGTTTTTCCAGTTCAGTGTGCAGTTTAGATTTCGAGCAGATCATAAGTGCCCTATGTACTAATGTTTTGACAAGGTTGACTTTGCGTTGTTTTGGGCAAAATGAATTCCAGCGTATGTACTGACCGGTAAAAGTAGGCTTGCGATATACACTGGTAAGAAATCCAGTGTTAGACTTTTCGACCAAAACATCTAAAAATGGTAAGGAATCATTTTCTTCCTTTTCAAACGTAAACTGGAGGGCTGGGTGTAGGCTATTTAGGTGTTTTAGAAAAATATCACACTCAGCCTCTGTTTTGAAAATGGTATATGTGTCATCCACATACCGAAAATAGACACCTGGCTTTTGGTCGTAGTCGAACAAACGCTCTTCATGAAAGCCAACAAAGATATTGGCCAAGGCAGGTCCCAGAGGGCTACCCATAGCGACACCATCCTTTTGTTGGTACATTTCATTGTTAAAACTGAATTCAACTGAACGTGTTGCAGTTTCCATCAGTTCAATGAATACTTCCTCTGGGAATGGTGGGCTATTAAGCTCGCTCCGGTACAAAGCGTCGGCACATATTTTGATGGTCTCACTCAAAGGAACATTTGTGAAAAGACTACTAATGTCAAAAGAACACATGAAAGATGTTTCGTTTTCGATGTTCAAGTTTTGCATGAACTCAGAGAACGTAAAAGAATCCTTGATGCAATGTTTTGAATATTTTTGAAGAACAGGGTCCAAAACTTCAGAAAGCCACTTAGCCAGTTCGTGTTGTGCTGAGCCAATCATAGACAAGATAGGTCTAAGTGGGACGTTCGGCTTGTGTATTTTAGGGAGGCCATACATTTGTGGTCGTTGAGAGCCCGTGGGTCTTATCCTATCATAAATTTCTGTAGCCAACATTTTTGAGTTGACCAGTTCCAACAAACGTTTTTGGAGTTTCCGCTCTAGTTTGGCCGTTTTGTCATGTGTTTCGACATCACCCAATTTAGCAAATTTTTCTTTGTCGTGGAGAATAACCTCCATTTTATTGATGTAGTCCTTTTTGTTTAAAATTACCACTCCAGACCCTTTATCAGGTTTTGTAATAAAGATGTCATTGTTAGCCCGTAGAGATTTTAGTGCTTGGAAATGTTCTCTATGCAAAAGAAAATCTGAGTGGTCGATGGGAGAGCCGCTGTAAGCGTACGCCAAATCGCTTAGTCGTGCTCGTAATTTATTAAACTCCAAAGGGTTAGAAATCTCGTGCTTGGCAAGTTGAGCGTGTAAAATTTCGAATTCAGCAAAGGGTTCTTCTCTGTTGATTGTTAGGGGTGTTTCGATCCACAACTAGGTGTTTCGATCCACAACTGGGTATATATTTTTCCATCGTGTTTTTTCGGAACCTATTCTGACGTTTTATGCTCTGAGGAGTGTCAGACGAAAAAGCTTTAAGTATGTTGTAAAATGTTTGCTTTTTTTAAAGCCATTTTCAAATTCTGTACCGCAAAAAATTGTTCACATGAAACAAAATAAACGCTTCTTTCTTTCCTCGTGTTACTTTTGATCCGAACGTGGATACAATTTTCTGCTCATATTTTGGTCATTATCCGGCATAAACACTCTGAGAAATGTCGGAATAAAAGTGCTTACAAATGACTTGTCTCTGTTTTGTCGTACTTTTCATAAATCAGGAAAAACTTTAAATCTTCTAACACAACAATTATAATTGACAATACGATTAGAATCAGTCAATATGATTGCCCCAGCTTTAAAGAATAAACATGGAATGCAGCCTTTAAACAGGGCTACTCCTTTTCGCCAAGCACCCCTAGAGGTGGACGACTTTTGAAGATGGATCTCCACAATTCTCTATCTGTTACAGATAGGCAAGTTCAAAATTCAAAGAACATGTTCAGGAATGACTTCTTTCTAAATAACAATAGCTCTCAAAACGAAATAATAGGGAGGAAAAATCCAGTCAAAAACCTGACAATTTCTAAAAACAACTTAGAAAAAGTTGAGCCTACTAGGTCAAAAGCATTAATCTTTACCGATTTGTTATGTGGTGCTTTATGTTGTTGATTTAAATAGACAGAAACGTACTCTAGTGTCTCTAAAACAAGGGGTGTTCATTCCGGCCAATTTTCAATAGAAGGGGGGTGCTAATAGAAGGGGATGTTCATATCGGCCAGTTTTCAATAGAAGAGGGTTGCTAATAGAAGGGGGCTGTTCAGGTTGGTCAATTTTCAATAAAATGTCAGCAAATTTCAATAGCAAAGGGGAGCTAATAGAAGGAGTGGATGTTGGTAGATATTTTAATTAAAAGGCAATGAAATTAGTAGGATGGCGGCACTGGTTACTTGATAATGGATAGATGGTTAGAGATAAAGATAGACAAACATAACAAGGGGAATTATGACAATTTAAAAATAACTACATAACATAAGAAGGGGAATTATTGATAAGTGAAAACTACGTGTTCTGGTCATGACAGATTTGTAAAATTTAATAGAAGGGGGGTGGTAATAAGCGACGGGGGGAGGACAAATTCTTCTGAAATTAATACACGGGGGGCCGTCTATTAGAGACACTAGAGTACACGCTCAGCGCGATCATCAGGCAACGTCTACTCTATATTAATGTTTGGTTTCAGTTCTTACCTTATTATTTGTTATGTCTAATTGGCTTCTATTGACAACACCAATTATACCAAGTTTAACAGGAATGACTGCGGAGAAATGTCACTTACGTTAGAAAAAATGAAACAATTCTCCAGTCGAATTGAACTGATTTTCAATGAAAGTCGTCACAAGGTAGAAAGGACATGAATGTTTTTATGTGATAACGACGATTAATACCGAGCTGTTTTCATACAGACAACAGGCGACCCCTACTAAACAAAATAAGGTTGAAGCCGATTTAGAAAACATCGAATTAATACTGATGAGTAGAATTAAGGAAAGAAATTCTGCAAGAAAACGCGAAAGTCTAAAAATTTCAAAACACATATTCACTTCTTTGAATTCTTTTCTCTTTAGAATACATATAATATGTGAATTGCAGACACTTCAATGGCAATACTCTTTTCGTTGCTTAAAAATAGCTCATAAAACTCAATTGGTGATTCCTCAAGAACAAAATTTCTACTAAACGGAATTGGCAAAAATCTCTACCTTGGTATTATTTTTAATGTGCTTTTGAAACATTCAGAAAAGGGAGAATCCCCAGAAGATATTATCATAAACTGTGTCTTCCAGACAAATCCTCCACTGATTAAAAAATAATTCCCACTTAGCTAAGTACCGCAAAATTCATTCAGTCATAACTAGGTTAATACGACGCTTTGCAAAAATCTTTATAAAGGTAATCTGCACGGCCAGACCTACCTTTGCCGTAAAGAATATCCACTGCATCTGTTCCATGGTCCATGAGATCGAGCTTTGTAACCACGGCTAATGTTCTATTGCCTGCAAATATTACAAAACAATATTAGATAAAAATTGGTAAATAAAAATAAGTGCTAAAACTCTTCCAAATCTATTAGTGACTTTGTTGTAGACTAAGATTCGGTAATGTCCTAATCCAAACGTCCATGGTAATTAAGAAGCCGAGAAGGCTTTATTGTGCCACTGGAGGAACGAGGCTTAGAAAAGGGGCTAATTAGAGAGAGGGTATTTTTAGAAAAAGGGCTTATTTGAGAGAAGTTGGCTTATTTTGTTAAAAAGACAATAGAGAGAGGGCTTTTTAGAGAAGGGACTAATTAGAGAGGAGGACGTTTTAGAGAAGGGGCTAATTAGAGAGAAGCTGTTTTCGTTTTAAAGACAAAGTCCTTAGTTTCAAAATTTGGTTCAATAGGGGGGGGGGGGTTTCCTACTTGAGAGGGGGTTAAACAGAGAGAAGGTATCTAAGAAGGAATTTTCAAAGTAGACGTCACAACTGAAAGCTGATTCTGGTTTTCTTTCATTAATCATCTAATCGAGATAATTGGAGACTTTTAGGCATTTGTTAATTTTAGGTATTTGTTGATAGAAAAAAGGTGATAGAAACTACAAAATCAATCTGCATTTTACACATTGCACTTCTAATTTAGAACTTTAGCTAACGACCTCACCCAGAATATTGCTCAAAAAGCCGCTGATAGCAAATTTTAACGCCTTTTTTTGACTCAATATTCAATTTTCTCGTCATACATTTCTCATACATTTTGACCGTTTTCAGAAGGGAACATCACATAGTGACATTTATAATCTTTTTACTGTCCTTAGAAAAACAGAAATAAAAAGGAAACCATACCTTCAGGGTCAAAATCTCTTGCGATCTTTATGGCTTCTGACGTCACTAAATCTGTATTTGCAGACGTAACAGCCAGAATAATAGAGTTAGGGTTTCTAATGTACTTTGCAATCAAATCCCTGATTTGAACTTCGATGTCTGGCGGTTGATCGCCAACTGGAATCTAGAAAACAAAACACACAGAGTTAAGAAAACTAAAAGTTTTTGTCTAATCAACACACGCTTAGTTGGGTAAAACAGGACAACTCTATGATGCAGCTCCAGGCTTCACGCACATTACGATCATCACACAAATGTGATTAACCTTCAGTATTACAAATACATAGTATTACCAATTATAATTGGACTGCTGATCCCAACAGAGTTTTGTCAATATAGCAGATCATTTAGCAGGGATTTCTGAAAATATTATCACCTAACATTTATGAAACAACGGACGTGGCTTAAAGCAGGTAGCGACTGAACTGTGACCAAATATCAATTGAAACATGCTTATTGGAATGGGGGATAGAGGTGATTTGGTTTTGCATGGACCAAGATGTGCTTACGAATTTCTGCAAGGGGAAATGTGTTAAAGAAAAGATGCATTGTGTTAAGTAAAAGAAACATCGTGTTTAAGAAAAGATGCATAGCAAATTTCGTTTGTTCATCTCATGGAGTCAACTGTTACATGCTGGACAACGCTGAAATGTTCATTGTTCTACTCTATGGCGGTGATGGCTTAAGTGAAATTTCAATCAACTATATTGTTTTGGCAACGATCAGCTGCATTATCTCTATGAACAAATTCAATTAAGCTGCACCCCTTTTCTCCATCTTTATTATCTTTTGGATGTTGTTGTTCCTCTCTCTAAGTGAATGTTTGGTCATGTCACGGACTCTAATCCCCAGACCCTTGGATCTATAGTTCGCGACAAAGACTAACGTTATAACACTAACGTAATTTGTGACATAGAAAATTTTGTAATTTTTGCACTAGCATTACTTCCTTCTTGCTAAATATCTTTGTATTTTTTTAAATTTTTAATGACATAAAAACGACTTTGGGTAATACCTTGGTCATTCCTGGTAGGTCCACAAGTGTAAGATTGACCACATATGGTGAATAAATCTTTAAATGAATTGCCTGAGATGAAATACCCTAAAAAACAAATGAGGCATCATGAATTGAATCCCTGCTAAGATTCTTCTTAACCTGATCAAATCTACAGACTAAGATGATGATCAACATGTATCAGAAATCTTCAGAGTTCCAGCCACAAGATATAAAATGGAGAATTATTTCATTAACTAAGAAGCCAGATTAGATAAATGTTGTCTGCCATAGTATCAGGAATGCCAAATTGGCCCTTTTAAAGATCCCCAAATTTTTCATTTTTGGCCTTTTTCGGAGTCAGATTGCCTGGAAAATTTGTTTTTGCCATACTTCTTAAATTTTGCATTTTTGGCCTTTTTAGCAGAAGTTTTGGGGTCATTCCTTTGCTTTATATCAACTTTAACTTCCTCAGTAACAAGAAGAATTTAAAATCGAAATTTAGCAATTCTACACAGTATGTGCCTGAATGTGAAATATTACCACCTAACAAAATTTTCCGAAGTAGAAAGTTTTTAGTTTCTTATTTGAGCTGGGAAAATGGTTTAAAAGATTCATGTCTGGAAATATATACCAGGCTTGCGCTGCGTATTTCTGTGAAATTTTTGTTCTAGCCTTTTTAGGCACATTTTGGCCTGAGTTGCTCATCTGTTTGGCCCTCTTTTGTAAATCCTATCTGACAAGTTTGAATGCAAAAATAATTTAGGAATATATTTTTCCTTGCTGTCTTTCAACTAAAAAAATACAGATTTCTGACACCAAAAATTTACCATCCACCCATCAAGATTAAGGCAGAAAAGCTACAAGCTCCTTTGAAATTACCACATTTTACCTTAAACACTTTACATAATTGTCAACATACACATTGTTGCCTTCTCCTAGAACAAGACACTCCTAAAATGCAACTCAAACATTCACACTTATGTGACTGCCAGGTAAATATTGTTGTGAACATCTGCAACAAAAAATACCCCCTTCATTTGTCTAATATCAGAACATGCATGAATAATTACCTTATTGCTGCCTGTGAGTCTTTCTGTCTCACTCAAAATTTCATTTCGAATTTCTGAAAAATCAGTGAATTTCTGAAACAGATGGAGAATTTATTGTTAAAATAAACAGGTGTGTCAAGTTACAGCAAAGTGATAATTCAAATAAACATGTAATGCCAAATTTCAAAAATTATTTCTCTTATGTAGCTTAATTGAGATGCCAAGTATTCTTAAGATCAATTCATCAATGGAGGTTTAAAGAGATGTTGTCATCCTAGGACCTCAATAATGATTGTTATATATTGTGTTTTAACTTCAATAGCACAATGTTGAATGATTGCGTTATGATAAGGACAATAGCAGTATTCGTGGATAAGCGCACATCTTTAGAAAGTGTGCACACTGTTGATTTGATTTAAAATATTTACAGTCATGAGTTGTTTTTCAAAAATGTGTGTAGCATTAACGTTGATTAAGTTTCGAAGAGCCTTAATTAGGTTATCTGTAGAAGATGCTCTATAATACTACTAATAAGAAAAAAGTAGACAACAAGATACAACACAATAAATCTTTAGATTTAATATGGTAAGAGCTAAAATGTATGGCTCCATCCTCAATTGTCCAACTCTAACAACTTCAAGGCCCAATCCTTTATAAAGGTCTCTATCATCACTGTACAGGCGTGAAAAATAGCCTCATGATTGAGACATTGTGGGTTCTCTAACATTTGACTGATACACATTTAACAAGCTTAAAGCCAACTCAGCTGTCTATGCTTTTGACATTGATAACAGCATTCCCAGAGTATTTGTTCAAAATATAAATCTTGGGCTACCAGCAAAGGTCAAAATTTGCTATGACTTACAAGAACCCTAACCTGAAATGACAAATAAATCTTGCAACCTGCATTAAAAAGAAATGTTGCATGCTTTTAACGGATGGCGCTTAAGTTTCTTGTTTATTTTGTTGTTAGTATGGTCCTTGTTTTGTTGTTCAGTCTTTTGTCAGTACAAGAGTGTCCACTCTTCTGAGTGATAATTCTTATATATCCAAGATTGATATTCGAGATTGAGTTTGATTGAGTTGAAATGAAGTAAATTCTATGTTGTTATCCCTTCATCATATGGCAAGTAATATTTTGACAGCTATCTTGCTTACTGGCACATGTTCAAGAACAACTGGAACGTTCTCTATCAAGGCATTACTGGAAGATGCCTTATCAAAATATCTTTTAAGTATCTTTAATTAACAATAACAGGCATAAACCATAAGTAATAAATCAACATGAATACTTTTTCTTTTAGATGAAGAAATCTTCCCCATTCTTCTGCTGCATCTTCAGTACCTCTAAGACTACCTTTGACCTTATTCTCTTTACCCTCATCTTCCTCATTCTCTTTTTCCTCACTGCTTTCTGAAAAAATCACCAATAAATAATTTTAAAAAATAACATCTTAACTTATTTTTAAGACTATCTATCTTTAAGTTAATAACATTTAGCAAGGCGCTTATAATTTGCTATTTTAAACCTGGGCTTAAACTTACAGCCTACAGGGTATAAATGGATATTTTAAAGCTGGGCTTAAACTTACAGCGTACAGGGTATAAGTGGCTATTTTAAACCTGGGCTTAAACTTACAGCCTACAGGGCTTATAAAAGGCTATTTCAAACCTGGGTTTAAACCTGCAACCTACATCACTGTAGTGAGGGACTCAAAGTATGTCCAACTATCATAATGGAGTGCTTGACAGCAGCGCTGAATTCTGGGAATTGAAATGGACTGATAAATTAGAAGCCTAAGTTGTTTAATTAATTAACTAAACATAACTTATTCTTGCCTTTTTTTGAAGAAAAAAATGGAAGAAACATAACCTTAAGAAAGCCAGTGTAAATATTTTGAAATGCAGAAAGGATGGTGGTTTGTTGAGATGGTGGCCGTGACCAATATATTCCTTTCTATCTAAATTATTGCATCTTCAGGTAATCCTGTCCAAAATGGAAGCTCTGCCATTCTTACTCCAAGGTGCTAGCCATCCATCAATTTTATTTGCAGTTTCTTTTATGTGTTGATAAAAAAACAGAGCTAGGGTGAACTGGGTCCAAGTGGCAATTACTAACAGCAGTATATGGGGGCATTAAAAACTAAAACAATTGCATCAGACACCTTATGCAAAAAGTACTTTCTGATAATGAAAACCATACCATTTGAATCTGTTGATGCATCGAAATAGGCTTCTCTGTCTTGGGGATCTTCTGTTGTCTCTGCATGGCCATTCGTTCGTTTTGGGACATGAATCAGTTGTAGTACCAATGGTCTCCTTGTAACAATGCCTGCACCTATATAAAAATTATAATTTCTAAAAGTGGCTCCCTTTGGATTAACTCTTGCTTAGCCTCATCTACCTCTAAAATCTTTTCCAATTTGAAAATGAACATAAAATTGTTTCATGTGATTTGAGAAAATCTATTCACTTTGAAGACAGCATAGAATCCATGTAGCTTAGTCTGGAGATATCTTGCAATATTTTCCATTGTATTTTTATTGTTTCTATTGCTGTAGTTCTGGTATGAGCCTTATATGGTGGATTCCACCCTGGACTTGAGGGGAACCAATAAAGTTGCATTAAGAAATTTCAATTAAAAATACCAAATATAATTCTTTGGCTCTGACATGAAATTAATTTGTGATTGGATTACGCATTAAACTCAGAGTAGCAGCCTAGAACCATTCTGTTCTATACACTAAAGGCATATTATTGGATTCATATCTGAGTCTCTAGGATCTAGAAGGAAATTTTTTTGAGCTTTTTTTAAAAGTTTGAGCAACCTACCTCTTGGCAAGAAATCTCTTCCAACAATATTTTCAAGAACAGAACTTTTACCACTGCTCTGCAAATTCATAGAATGTTTATAGTTAAAACAAAGAGAGACCAAGTTAATTGGTGTTACAATGGAATTTTCATCAACTGACAAACAGGTAAGCAGTCATATATTTCCAGGTGATGTTCAAAAGAAATGCAAGAACGAGAATGGTGCTGTTGATCAGTTTTTTTTGGAGTACTAAAAAATAGTGTTCTAGTCTCCTTTCTTGTGTGTCATTATGAAATATATAATTCAATTTTCAAAAAGGCACACAGAAAATTAGATATTGGTCACCTCTTGTATGTCAAAGAAATCTAGTAACAATTCTGTATCCAAGAATGCAAAAAAGAACAAAACAAGAGAAAACAACAAATCTTAGAGACAAAATAAGGCTAATTCCAATAACATTTATGTATATCGGAAAAGCTAAATCCTACACAGCTCTAAGTCGGTGCATCTTACCTGGGTTCCAACAACAACAATTTGTGGGAGTTGCATGGATTCTGATCCTACCGTATTAAATACATCTTGCAGTTTATTGATAACAGGGATCATCTGCTCCATCTTGCTGAAGTCTGTGAGTAAAACCTTTATGAATGGATGTAAAACAGAGTTCTGTAATATTATGGCCTACTCCTCTTCGGTATAGTTAATGAGCGGGTTTTTTGGGTAATTCAGAACCGTTTACTTTCAGATAATCTAAAAATCATTTATTTTACACATACAATAAACAACATTGATGGTTATTTCACCACTATTCTCTGCAAATTCTTCGTTTCCAGGCGTTGTTACAATCTTGCAATCAACTGAAATTGAAATGTCCGTTCGTTCGATCCCGTCAAAGTGAGGCACGACATACACCTAAACGAGACATAGAGGTGTGGTCAAGAGAGATTTCTTTCGGTAGAAAAATCGTCGTTCAGTGGTTTCGTGGGCCCCGCCACCACTACATAAAGTAGTAAAAATTTTGTGTCCAAAGATAAGTCTTCTACAGCTAATTCCCCCACCTACTCCTTATTACTAAGCAACTCTCCCTCCCCCTGCACTTGTTCGTCTTCTATGGACTAGAATTTACTGCGTTTTAACGCATGTGGAAAGTGGCGACTAATAAAAATGGGTTGCCAAAGCTTTACTTGCAAAAATGTTACCTAGAATAGGCTATTACCTAGTTGTGAAAAATGAAGAAACATCCCATGATGCCATCTTAATGCAAGGAATTCTTCAACTAAAAGATGGAATGCTGTGTAATGCTGTGTGGTTTGTGTATTCTAGTCATACACTGCAGCATCGTCACATTTTAAAACCCTTTCTTTAAATGGTTGTACGCATCCTTCTTCGCCAACTGCGATGCACAAAATCCCTGTTAGAGACAAAGTTTGATCAAGCTTTGAAATGCAATGGCATTATAAATCGGTTATTCTCTGTGCAAAATTAGCAATACCTGAAGCTGTGGTGTGGTGTGGTGTCAGGTGTGGGATTTTGGTATTTTACGCTAAGAGCGGTTGGATGCTCTTGCCAAAGTTTGGCGAATGTTATAGAAAAATTTAGAAAACAGAGATATCCATATACCGTTTTATCATACATATAGCACATCATCTTTATGTGATAAGAAGGTGTTGGCAAAAATAATGATATTTGTATTGTCTGATGAAGAACTCTCTATGAAACTGATAATCTGTTATTTTGGTGCAAAAGAATTTTGATGTTGCTTGTACTGTGTAACGATCAGAGCCATCTCACCAAAGAAGCTATTCCTGAAGTTTTCATAATTATTCTTTATAAGTCCTCTGGAAAAGACATTTTATTGTATTGAACTTGGATTGTTTTTACTCAGTTAAATTTTCAGAGGCATAAACTAAACCTTCAGTAACCGACCATGATACGTCGCGCTCTCGTAGCTCTTCCCGACTTTTGTTTATGGTTGTAGGAAAGTCTTTCATTAAAAAGAAAAGCCTAATATTTTCGAATATTTAACATACAGAATTAGCCAAACAGGCCTCTGGTGCCTCCAAACTTCAAGAAAGCAGGGGCGTACCTTGACGATTTGAAGTGGGGGTGTAATCGGGTGAATTTACCGATCAAAATTCAACTCTTGCTAATCAATGTATAACTTATTTTACAGTTATATATTGTGACTTTTAACTGCTTTATCAATATGATCTTGTAAATTACGAGTAAATGAGACTCTTCCACGTACTATCAAGATACGAATCTACCGACAATTCATAACATTTACCGACCATCCGTAAAATTTACCGACAAACTTTCCAAAACCCCGGTAGGTACGCCCCGGACTATAGGTTTTTGCCCGACACTCTACAGAATATAAAAGTCTGATGATTACAAATGTACGTAAGCAGAATTTAATTTCCAAAATTGGTTTGAAAGAAACATGAAAGGAAGAATAGCGCGTTGATTAACCAATCGGAAATTTAACAGAACTCGTCTGAAAGTTTAAATAAAAATTATTGATTTCTGCGTCTTGTCGGGGTGATTGACTACTTAGAAGAACAGAGCAACGTGAATATGATAAATCAAAAGCTGCTCGTCTGTCATTGTGCTGGAAATTGGTGATCTCAAATTTGATCTAAAGAGTTATTCTTCATTTCGCAAATGTATTCGGGCATTACATTCCTTGATTTTCTATTCGGCACACAAATATTTCACTTGTTGATGCTATTAAAGTGAAGCTATTGATGCATAACTTTCTTTTCAAGGCAAGAAATACTCTTATTAAATTTCCGCGTGCGTCTGTTTTTGCATTACATTCAAAGTTACTGGTGAGTAGAAGTATTTTGTGAGGGGTTTTCCATTTTTAAAGCATCAGATTTCGCATATTTTTCAGTATTGGTCAGCTCAAACTTTTGTTCAGAAATTTTAATCATTATACTAATCTTATTGGGGATGTCTAGTGTTGGGATTTTTCTAAACTTTTCTCATGGCGCATTTCTTGGAAAATGTGGAAGACATGTTCAAGATGCTGGCTCCTCAGTAGCTCTTTACCTGCAACTATCCTGATAACGAGTAGCTCTTCAAACCCGGATACACTAAGCTTTGGACTAGGGTGATATATTTTTAACTGTCACTGGATTTCACTGAAAAGAAGCAACATTTTTCCTATGCGAAAGGGACTTTCTAAAACAAAATGATAAACTGTCCAGAAGACTTTCCAATTTTTCAATCCATTCATTTCAAGGGTAATTGTAGCCTATACCATAAGTAAACAAAGAAGAAAATTTTGTTGCGTCACATAACTTTCATTTTACAAGCAGAAATTTATCGATGTAGTACTAAAATATTTCATCATTGCCATAGATCTGTTTATATGCAAAGTTAATAAATAACATCTATGGTATGTCTTAAAATATTTTTTAAGCAGTTATTGTTCTTGGTTTTTTTGAATCAATTCCGCCAGCTCCTTGTAGATATCTCGGTTATCCGTGTTAAATTCTGGACCCTGTTGGTTATCACGAAAATGCAACTTTCTGTAGAGATTCGGTAGAATCTTTCGCAGATCTTCAACTTCTCTCTCGCTTTGTTGCTTTGCTTCAAGACTGTTTAGTTCACTTCTGACTTCTTCACTTGCATCCTACAGTAATAAAAAGCTCGAATAAAACATTTTCCGAATTCTACAAACCTTCACATTTAAGAACATGATTTTTATTAAGCTACTGTCTTTATTCTGTATTACATTCTAATTGGTATGATTTCCAAGAAAATTTCTTTGATCGGCTCCCTAATATCATTTCGAGGTACAAATAACAAGTAAAAAATGTGGTATATCATTCTTCGTGTATTAATACATCTGTAGTTTCTCATTATCAAATGTCATTTTATAACCTTCAGGCATCTCTAAGACATGCTTTCCTCCAGATGTAGAAAACCGTTAAGTCCAAAGGAATAAAGTATTAAGGAATTTACCCTTTTCTTTCCTAGACATGTTTGCCAGCCACTGAAAGAGTTGCACCCTTCATCATCATCGGCGATTATTGCTTTTGATGTCGTACTTGAAATCAAAACAGCAATGAAGAAGGAGCAGCATACCAAAGATATCTTAAATTCCATTGTACCAAAGTGCAGTTGATACTTTTAGATTTGTTCTGTCCTGCAATGTTGCTTGTATTCGTAGAAATGAGGACGTTCACAGGCAGACATGCACTTATATTCTTTGCCGGCCATCATTGGCAACCAGATGTCTCTAATTTTTGAAAATTCACGAGAAAGTAAACAAATTGAGAACAAAAAGGACTATGAATGGTGGGATCGGATGAAAACCAAAACACTGATTGGCTTTAACAGCTGACTCGCAGCCTTACAACATTGATGTGAATCTTGCAAGATTACTTCATTAGGGATGACAATGATAATCAGACATCTGGTCAAAATTATGTGCAAGTCAATGTTTTTATTTTCTGATAAAGAATATTAGATTTGCTCCCTTACGCAAAGATCAATGGATTTCCTTTAAAAAGGATGTCTGGACTTGAAAGTGACAGAGTCACGAGCCTTTGCAACTTTAGTTTGATAGAAAATCATCATTTCAATTAAGACGAATCATGATTTAAATTCTTACAAATACAGAAAACATTACAGCACTGCAACGTTGTTGCAGCAAAGGCTGCCTACAAGGAACTATTTCTATTCTAGGTTAGGAATGGTTTTTGAATGTGATTTTGCTTTGACAGCTACGTTTATACGCACGACATGTATTGACAAAACAAGTATTAGTCACTTAGACTGACTTTGTTCAGAAGAGGCAGTTAGTACATTGGAAATTAACTGTAAGAAAATATATTCAAAATGAAAGAGCTTCACAGTTGCCCTACAATAGCAAGTTACGGAGGTCACTCGCCTATTTCGTGACTCCCAGCACAGTGAAGGTATTGTGTAAGTGCTGTTTGGTATTCATGTTAGGGTCAAACAACACCTCAAGATACTACTGGCAGTGGCGTAACCAATAACAAAGTGTACCAAATCCTTATTCGTTCAGATATTTGAATCATGTCTGTAGTTTGGACTGTTGCCAGTACCAAAACGCACAGCTTCTCTTTTCCTTTCTTTAAAATGATAGTATGTTCTGTTGTTTCCTCAGCATTTCACAATGTTTGCAGTCAAAGACCAAGATGGAACTTTTTGTTCGGGGGGGGGGGGAGGGTCTCCATGTTTCACAAATTGGCTTATAATCGGCCGGAAGCTCCTAAATTGCCATGTTAAAAAATTAGTATCTATTGTCCACATAGCTCTAAATCTAAAAAACCTCTATACAACTAAATGGAGAAGTATTTCTTAGTTTTTCGAACGCTTCTTGCAGATCAACAGAAACAGCATCAGTCAATTCTTTGTATCAACTTCTCAGCCATTGACCCGATACATTGATCCGTACCGTGGCTAATCTTAAAGGTTACAGGTTAGATGTTTAATTGACTGACCGAATGCCGAGAAAAATTCATTTGTTTTGTGATTTGATAGATTTAGGGCCAGCTTCTCGTGAATTTGCTGGCTACATATTACGCAACTTTAGTAAGTGGAAATAGTACCACTTAAACGGGAAAATAGGATATTCAGACATAACCAGACTTTAATCAATTTATTTGAATCGTAGGAATGCTTTATTGTAAATCGTGATTGCTGTTTAATTTCTAAATGGATGATTTAGAGCGTAAAATGTAAACTGATTCTGCAACTCTTCTAAAAATGCTCAAATATTCACGTTAAAGATACAATGAAAATGATGCAATGTAATTGGGTACACTGCAGTGTCATTTTGACATAGTTACTGGCATTATAAATTAAAGAACCTTTAGACTTTGTTTAAATGCAAAATTAATACGAAAATTCTTCTTTTCAACTTGTTTCTTATCTTATCTTCAGAGAAAAGATTGAAATTCTGTTTCTTTTAAAAAAAATTGTTTAATAAACAAATGTTTTAGGCATAACTTATATAAGTTGCCTTTTTAATACCTGGTAAGCCCAGGGGTGTAGAGCTAGGGGGGCTCATAGGGGCTGAGCCCCCTTGTTAATGCCTAAAATTGGCAAATTCCTACTTTTGCGATTGTTTTTGCAACATTTTGTGCAAATTCTTATTACGAAAATTCTTATTTTCAACTTGTTTCTTATCTTATTTTCAGAGAAAAGATTGAAATTATGTTTCTTTTAAAAAAAATTTGTTCAATAAACAAATGTTTTTAGGTATAATGTGAGGACCTCTCCGAAGACCCCCCTTTTAACCATTATTAAAAGAACTGACTTACCCCCGGGAAGAGGACTTTTTAGTTGAGAGAGGGACTGTTCGAATCACGTTGAGGAGTTGTAAAGAGTATTTGGTTTTTATAAAGGTTTGCGTTGGAAAACTATGTCGTGTTTTGTGTGTTTGTTACTTGAAGCTAATTGATTTGCACTCGAACCGGGCCACAATAACTTATATAAGTTGCCTTTTTAATACCTAGTAAGCCATACATAAATGGGATACGCCCTTTGGAAGGTCTTCTTCCTTTAGCAAGGTCTTCTTCCTCTAGTAAATAAAGCAAAAAATGCCATGTACCCAGAGTCCTTTTCTATATTTGCCTCCTAATCTTACTTAACCTGTTTAGGTTTGCTGACGTGGTTTCTTATTTAAAGTAATTAGCTATGTATGAAATACTTATGAGATTTAAAACGAAAATGCAAAAAACATTTGATATGAATCATGTGCTTCTGTATGCATAAAGCAGGAATTTAAACTTTAATTGAAAACAAATCGATCAATTGATTATAGTTGTTATGAAAGACATGCATTTTATACGATATTAGACGTGCTGCTATACAGGTGCATGCAACATATGATATTCAATTACCTTCAGCCCTTTCATCGACAAAACCGGTACGTTTTGATATGAGAGGATACAATGATTTTCGGTATAGTAAATATAAAGTATTTTTACGTTTCTGATCAAATCTAATAAAAATTATTTGAATATGCCGCTATCCTTTGATGCTAAGCTCCTTGAAGTTAAGGGGTTTTCTATTTGCTATGTTACATCCTGCAAACACACAGCATGCAAATAAACAAAGCAAGTCTAAATCTGCCTTACCAAAATATCACTGCCGCTTCTAAAATTTCGACCCCCTCCCCCGTACAATGTACCTTCATCATCAAAACTGTAAATTGAACAACATTGTAATGGGGGTAGTGGGGGGGGGGGGGGGAATCTTTTGAGAAAAGCTTTAGCTTTGCGCAAGTGTTCCAAAAAGTTTGGCAAGGATTGTAGTTATCGCCTCATCGACACCCATTGTAAAATAAAGTATTTTTTTTTTAAAACCAAGATTCTTCAATAGAGATCGTATAATCAGCAGCAACCAACAACTACAAAATGACGACTTTATTCAACGAAAACTTCGACTCGACTGGACTTGCACTCAAAGAACATACGCTTTTAACAACACGAGTGACGCACATAAAACCCTAATGACACAAATTAACGGCAAATGAACTAATAACAACTAAAAAGAGATGGCACGATGACAAACAAAATTACTGACGCAAACATCGAAAGACATTCTCATTAACAATAACGAACCACAAACATGATACACGACAGACAAAACTAGTTGTATAACATTACTCCCCCCTTTGAAAGACAAGCCTCCTGGCTTGATCTCTCGAAGGGGAAGAAACATAAAAGTATTATAAGGCAGCACGAAGAATCAAATCAAATAATTTTACTGAAATGAGTAAATCAAGTACCATCTAAGAAATAATGTCCCTGTCCAAGTTTATTCCGTCCATACGGTTCTCTACCCGAGGCTATAACAACATTATGTACACGTAAAGGTCCTTCTCTTCTTTTAGTGTCAATCAAATTTTTTTCATATGTTGTGGCTAATAAACCCTCGTCAACTTCCATTGGTTTTGAAGAAGGCAGTCGCGTCACCATTGGTCGTGATAGTTTATGTGACTCCAATTCATTGACAATCTCCTCCAATTTCTTGATTCGAATTTGAAGATCTTGAAAATGTGGCTCATTTCTTTTGATGTTGCCAATAAAGGTAACCCGAGGTCGTTCTTCAGCTACCGAGGCAACAATCACAGGTTCATTTTGATCACACTTCTCCTGGGATGCTAAAGAAAATTTCCTGTCCCTACAATATTTGGCAACGTGACCAACGCGCAAACAACAATAGCAAATGGGCTGGCCATCTTCAGCACGATAGACATTAGTTCGATTCACGAAGAAATTTCTCCCATTCTCCTCTGCCAACCTCACCCTTTCGGCCATGTGAGATACAACGGTCTTTATAATATCCAACAGAATTTCTCTGAATTGTTCTGTTGAAATCATTTCCATTTTTTTCTGCGAATTCGTCACGTCGTGGTCACCAATGTAAAATAAAGTATTTTTTTTTTAAAACCAAGATTCTTCAATAGAGATCGTATAATCAGCAGCAACCAACAACTACAAAATGACGACTTTATTCAACGAAAACTTCGACTCGACTGGACTTGCACTCAAAGAACATACGCTTTTAACAACACGAGTGACGCACATAAAACCCTAATGACACAAATTAACGGCAAATGAACTAATAACAACTAAAAAGAGATGGCACGATGACAAACAAAATTACTGACGCAAACATCGAAAGACATTCTCATTAACAATAACGAACCACAAACATGATACACGACAGACAAAACTAGTTGTATAACACCATGTACTGAGGAAACCAACGGCCTGCCACTAAGAGACTAAGACCCTGTTCCTATTTTCACGTGAAACTGTTAATATATATGCCTGTTTTGAATGTTAAAAGGTATGGTGGGCATTCAAGTGATATCAGAATATGATGCTTTTTTGAATAGGTAAAAATCAGCCTGGTTTTAACAGTATTACGAGAAATGATTAACTGAAAACTGAGGCTGCTGAAACTGGATTTAAGGAAACATGTAAAATGTTTTGGTGTAAATCTTATCAGAAAGTATGCCCTTTTCAGAGTATAAATGATGCAATAAATTGCTTTTATCTATAAACTATTTTTTCGTATCCACTTCTTTCAATCAATGTGAAAAGAAAATTTTGAATGATCTCATATTTCACAATATATCCTGTAAATAACCATATTTTGATCCTAAGTTGCAAACCAAGAAAAGCTTGCACAATGCTCTAGGTTTCAATTGCAAGCCTAATGTCCATAAAAATTGAGAATTCAACATAAATTTATGCCTTTAAATGCACAATCCTTTTTGCATATTTGTATTTCGATGGTATTCAAAAAATAAGTGACGTCATTATTTAGCAATTAGCTACGATGATCCAAAGTTGCATGTTAGCTTACTAAAACACATTGCCATACATGTTCAAAAGCCAATTAGCTTGCGCATGTGACTATAGTATGGCATTTAATCTATAAAACACCAATTAAAAATTCTTCGGCTTGAAAGGAAATGAATAACCATCTGCTAAATTTTCCAAATGTTGAAAAACGTGATTCATCTTGCCTACATTTTGGAACTCCTCTTTTCCTACAAAGGACGGAACAGTTTTAGGTTTCCCCATTGTCTGATGCTAAATACTGGAACAAGAAGCCTGGGTACTAGAGCATTACCTAGGCTGCGGAGAAGTGCTAGAGATAGGAAAAAAAACAAGAGAGGAACTTTTCTCCTTCGCTCCCCTCCTAGCGAAAACTTGGAAGCCACAGTGATGTATTTAGCTACAAGACTTAAAATAGTGAGACAATCTGATTTTATTCATGACGATCAATGTGCTTATCTATTTTAGTATTTACTACAAAGCAGACTTCAAATTTGAACATTTTGTCTCTCAGTGAATTCAAGCTAATAAACCAACCGATCTAATATGAGAAGATGGGTGTTGGATGAGCAACATTCCGACATTTTATCAAGCTATTCATCAAAACATCAAAACACAAACATTGGATTATGACATTATTATTCAATATAACAAAACAATAAAAACAGTGATAGGAAGAATTTTTTAGAAATTAATTATTGATAAAAGTCATCAAAATATTTAATCAAACATAAAATAATTTGATTTTATTAAACAGTAGATAAAATCTCTAAGTTCACTCTTTTCTCTTTATAAAATGATAATAATCGTAATATTGTCAACAAAAAGCGTTTTCTTGTCCTTTGTACACAATAAAGATGATGAATCCGCTTACAAATTTCACAACTTAACAGTTTTGATGACTTTATGTGGACACCAGTGTATGATAAGAGAAACTTTTCGTCCAACAGGGAAGGAATTACTTTACAGAAATAGAGAAAATGAATTGAAATGAACGGTGAGTTTATTTATTCTAGAAATGAGATAACGTTTGATAACATGGAGTGGAAATCGATCATCAAATGGCATCTGTCTTTTTGGGATCCGAGTGGCATCCGAAGAATAGTTCCAAAACTAACGAATCAGTCCAAAGTAACAATAACCCTGTCATAACTTTAGAATTATATACCAGATCTAACTGATTTGTGCAAATGAGGTATTTCATCACTTTCTTTCTGCTCATGAAGAAAACACTCAAAAATTCCAAAATTGATTATTATGGCTGTCGACATTTTGCAAATTTATTAGAAAAAAGTCCAAAGCGTGCATTCTGAGGGCAGACTACAATGCCTGCCAAAAGTACTTGGAACACCCACCAATTTACGCTGCATTTGATATCTTTCATTCCTTTCATGAAAAAAATTTGCTACTTCCGCCCCCTTCCCCCTCAAACAATGTTGATGATTTAGAGAAATATCATAAAAGAAGCGCAAAGGAAAGTGCTTCCTAAAATCCTAATCCGTTTGATAGTAAACCAACATTGTTCCGTGGGGGAGAGGGGGATGATTGGTTTTGACCTTGGAAATTGATGTCAGTGTTCCAAGACTTTTGGCAGGCATTGTAGCCCCTCAGAGAAAGAAGATAAGAAATTTCAGAGATTTCAGGACGGAATGCTTCAGAAGCATGGCTGAGGATTATTGGAAACGTAAAAATGTTGAGGAAGTTGAGTACAGTTTCAATCTAATAATAGATAATGCAGAAAAAGTAAAGAAAATTACACTATGAAAAAGCATACACGAATAATTTCCAAAATAATGCGCAGGGACCACGCAGCCATTGGCCAATAGTAACTCTACTTTTTTCAAAGAAAGGTTTACTTACTTTACAAAGTGGAAATATTGTAGAAACTTATGCTGCTAGAGAAATTCACTGATAAACTTTTCAATTTTCTTTATTTTCATCATTGCAAACAATCGATAATTTAGATGCGTTACTTCACTTAAAGTGCAGTAAAACTATGCATAAGAAATAAGGAATTTAGGTATCTTAAACTAGGCTCTTTATGATGAAAATTTATGATGGACCGATGTAGAGAATCGAAGAACAACACAAAGTTTGGCGTCAATGGTATTACCATTAGCATTTCATAAGCAAGATTATCAACGTTTAACTCTATAAAGACATTATTTTGCGTTAGTACAGTTTATTAGCAAGGTTTTTGAAGTACCTATACGGTGATTGCTTTTACGTTCATCCAAGTTTCGTTAGATGATGGCTTTTCGGCGTTTCAGGTGCAATGGCTTTGAAAAAGCTTTCTCTTTTATCCGCAACTGGATATAAATTTCTGCTTTCGCCATTACATGACGCTAATACTTCGAGGAGGGTCCCGGAGAGTCAGAAAGAGTATTCAAGTATGATATCTTTACGATTTTGCGCTACCTGCTAATTGCACCCGTGCTCTGTAATAGGCTCAAATTTCCCAACCCCAAAAATCCCTTTAGAGATATCCAAAGTGTGACAGTGTGAATTAATTCATTGATTTTTAAATTGATTTTTGCAATTTTTTTACTTTTAACCTTGAAGATGACCATAAAACTCCTATTGAAATGTAAAATCAGAGAATCCTTCCTCCAATAGCCTGAGCAAAAGAGAGCAAGTAAAACAACGTAGCTTTTAATAAAACTTAAGGTTTGCAAACTGATTCAATTCCCTTAAAACACGCATTTTTCCAGCTTCGAAAAGTGGGCTCAGGTCCAGCCAACAGTGCTCTTAAATGATTTTAGACATATTTAACTGATTTTGATATATCTAGAAGTATTCCATGGTCAAAGTTAAAAAAATCCTGAAAATAGACTTTTATGAACACCTAAGACTTTTAAAATTCAATGTATTGAATTTTAAACAACATTTATTCAAGACTCCTACTAAAAAAGAAATGGCAGTTGTGCATCGTTTGTAAGATGTAATGTAATTAGGAGAAAAAAGCTTTGGCAGGCAAATATGCAAAATCTCTCTTTTATTTTCCTTATCGAATTTTGGTGATTATTTCTTAGAAAGAGCTATTGAAAGAAGGAGTAGGACTAGCCATGCCACACTTTTATTAAATGAAGAGTTTTTATTTCAATGGAATGGTTGATGGTTTCCTTGTTTTGGGAAATGTATTGTAGCTTTGATAAACATTGTACAATGTTGTGTATGGTTATGGATGTCAGTTGATTTAAAAATAAAAAACAAAATAAACTGTATTACAACTATGTTATGGATGTTTCAAGAGAGAAGACGAAATCATTCACTTCGTCACAAAAGCAATCAAGAACAGATTTGCGGATCCTTGAAAGAGGTGATATTAAATTAGCTCCATTGCAGAAATAGGTTTTTAATATCCTCTGATGAAGGTTAAAAAAATGGAATGAAAGGTTAGCTTAATTACCTGAATTCACGATGATGTAATGGGAGGCTTTAATACTTTGAGCAGCTATCGTCTTTTATCCAACAGCCCAATTTATGTTTTTCCTCCATTTTACAAACCAATTGGTACATATAATGAATAAAATCTCGCTTGATTGATGTTGCAAAAATCAGCCCAAGTTTTAAAAAAAACTTGTTTAAATTCATCATTATAATTTCATTGCACCGCCTCGCTTCCACAGACATAATGCATATTTTTGAAACAGCTACCCTTAATTGATTAAGCCAAGAATAAACGCTAGATGTCTCATGGTTGTAAGAAAGTCATATAAGCTTCAATAATGTAGAAGACCTTTTGATGATTTGGTAAATTTGACTCGACAAACCAACTCAATGTCAATGCAGCAAATTATAGTTGTTAGTTCTGGTTCCTCTTTCACTTTATTAATCACTTAATTCATTATCACTTCCCTACATCCTTTAAACAAAAAGCGTTTTCCTAACACTAGCCAGAGCGCCCCTGGAATGGACTCAAGATATTTTGCCCTTGAAGAATTTCTTTGTTTTAAACTTGGTACTTTGTAACTATATGCATTGCACAAAATTTGGATAATACGACAATTTTTGCATGATCTGTCGAAAATCGAATGACATAGCTTAAAGGAAATACCAAACCCTTTGCATACTTGTCGCAATCGACATGTTTCAGCAATGTTCTTGCCATTCATGTCTCTAATTTCCATGAAGCTCTGTTCTCTGTTCCAGTGTAGTGTAAATTCACAACTGTGCCAATTCTGGTTTTTACGAGGATAGATCAAAAGCATGTAGGCAGGGAATTTTCTCAGACAATCTGAATATCGGCCTTAACGAAATTTTTTTAACCGTATATGACTAAAAATACTCCGTAGATTCCAAATCCGAGAACCTTTTGAAATTTTGACCGGAAGTTGCAGATTTTTATGACGTCATTGAGCATTAAAAGCCGACACATTATAACAGTTTAACAGCTTTGTTGTAGCAGTTTGAGCAAAAACACATAGTTACAATCAGCATTCAACGACAATTCGAATGATATATAACTTAATTAATTTTACACGCATCAGAAATTTGTGTGGTGACGTCATCATCTTATTGAACTGTTGCTAAAGGTAGTGTCTTAAGCCTGAAACTCATTTTCAAGACTCTTTACCAAATTAAAGCTTTTGCCATAAACACCCACTCGACGAAATAAACATAGCTAGAATATATGCCACAATTGTTGGAACATCCATCGCAGCTCAATGTTAAAAGATTGCACCATTTCTTGGTCAGTGAGAATCTTACTAGCATTAAAAGTATAAACAACTTTAATGAAGTAATGAACATTGTATAGGGATAGAGGGGGGGGGGAAATTCAGCGAAAACATTAACAACTTGGGGAGGGTTTTTAAATCCTGGGGTTGTCAACTTTTGAATTTTGATATTAATTGATATTGATATTAATCATCAAGCTATTTTTGCCAAAAATTGTGACTACGGTCCATCCATGGGAAAATTCAGAAGCTTTGTGATCTTCTCCTTAACCTTCTTCTTGGCCAACATTTAAGTTCAACACTCTTTTCATCATCCATACGACGATAATTACTGGTTTTAACTTTATTTTCTTTGGTCTCACAAAGCTGTTGCTTAGAGACATGGCAATCCTCTTGCGTAATGCTTACGTCACGACTCGAAACATTGGTATCTGACTTCAGCTCATTCTCGGAGTAAAAAAACTGGCTGCTTGCCTTGTTTTTACTTGGAGAAAGGAAAAGTCTTGCTAGCGTCGGTCCAAATATTCCAACTACGGTTACAATACCAATTGCGATCATGAAGCATGAAATTAGAATAGCATTTAGAAAGACGTTTCCATCTTTCATTTCGAAAAGGAAAAGCAACGGAATAAAGATTCCCCAAAGAAAACAGCTTATATACATTGTCACACTGGTTTTGAACGCCTCGTTGAAATTGGAAGGGAAGTTTCTTGTCTTGTAAGCAAACAAAGTACAAGCAGCCATCATAAGAAGACATGGAAGGAGGTTGAACACAATATTGATTGTTTCGAACATACACAGGACTGCTGTCTGGTTCTTATAGTCTACATCCAGAAGCTGAATCTTTGGGACACTACCAGCCACCCATACAACACAAAGAAGCAACTGGAGAGATATGAAACCACAGCAGATTAATATTTGAGACTTCGTGCTCACCAGAAACGGCTTTGTGTTCAGCTTTTCTGAAGCTTTGAATATGCGATATATTCGATTTGTTTTAAGCATAAGGGGAGTATAACAAGCCGTGCAGCTTAGGCCAATAATAAACCTTTGCATCCCGCATATTATCAAAGATGGTCTCATCAAGAAAATCCACGGGGAAAGAAAGCACAAATAGAGAGCTAATAGTATCATCATACTTAGCTCTATACTTGTTGCTTTAATAATCTTTGTGTCTCTGTATTTAATAAACAAAAAAACCGTTGCAGAGTTAATAGCGAGTCCAATACATGACCCAAGTCTTATAGCGATCATTTCATAAAATCTTTTATCGATATAGACGAGTGGTAATATATAACATGATTTTTTGTTATAGCTGGGCTTTTTATGCTTACCACAAGGCAGGCATGTACCATTGAGCGTTATCTCATCTTTATGGCATTGCATGCATGAAAAACAGCAAGCATTGGCATCGGTTCCAAAATAAGGCACCTCTCCGTCCTTACATGGCTGATAACAGAAGGCTTGAGGTACTCTATTATCTTTCCAGTTTATTTCACTTGTATTCAGATTCAGAGACGTTTCTTCAGACGATGAATTTAAAGTCCAAGTACCAACAGTTTTGTATTGTTGACCGTCAAAGTTCAAGATTTGAAATGTACTTGAAGAATGACTGGAAACCGACTGGGATTGAAACAGGCCACTGAGATTTTGACAATTGCATTTACCGTGGTTTTCTTCAAAATGTGCAGTAATGCATTGGTAAAATTGTACTTTGAACTTGTTACAAAGTCTGCATGTTCCCTTGGCAATCATACACGTGACTGTGCATGCCATCGACTCAACGGCAACAATCAATGGTTTAACAATGGCATGCTTAATATCAACTAAGCTTGCATTTAGTCTCTCATTTCCAGTGCACTTTGATCTGTTTAGCAATTCACTACCGTAAAAGGAACCTGTATCACAACTGAAGACTTGCTCCCAAAATTCCTTGAACCAAAAGTTATTATTTTTGTCGTTAGCAAGATTTTGCTTCAAGAAGTAATGCTCAAATCCTTCATCAAATACATCTGAATACTGAAGTATTAACGAGCCCTTTGCAATGCTTAGACTTTCCTTGACAGTGTAAGTGCCGGAGCGCCAACCCGTATCTGACACAAAATGAAATTTTGTATTGTTTTCAAATGCTTCCAAAATCTTTCTTGTCACATGTGATAGCGTAAAAAGCACAACAATATTTGCTTTCTCGTAGCTATTTAGTTTTCTAATGAAATCTTTAGATATTGTGCCATTATCGTTCTCAGAAACAGTAATTTGTGTACCAATGCAAATTTTGTTTCGTTTTGCCATTAAGAGAAACAAGTAAACACAACGTTGCTTAAAACTGTCTCTGGAATTAATGATTGAAACATATGTCCAATTGAATCTAAGGAGTATATCAATGATTGCTTTGACTTCAATTTCCTCTGTCGGAAGGGTTTGAAACACTCTTTTAGTTTCTGCTGCTCTATTGAAAGCGCTACTAGATGTCAACGGGTTAAAGATTGGAATTTTGTACGTCTCACCGCCATATAATTGCGAAACGAAATTTGTTTGAGACAATTCAGCTGCACTTACAATAGCTGCGAACTTCAAATCCTTGAAGGTCGTTAATAAGTTGACAGCATTTGAGCTCTCTCCCCGTAGGTCGACGATTTTGTACGTAAAAGAAACCCCCGGTAACTTCTCTCGCACCTTCTCAACTGCATACCTCAGCGCGATAGCCAGCACCATGCCATCCAAGATGTTAAGCTTATTCTCTCTGTCGTGAATATTGAGCAAACAAAGAATTTCATTCCCAATCTGTTTTCCAGAAATATAATCTTTTCCTTGATTTAACTTTGAAATGAGCCCTAAAAGAGATCATGGGATAAAATGAAATACCAAGAGTTTGGGAGTGCACAGAAAATATGACAACCTACACGAGACTTGAAGCCGATCATAAAGATGTTACAATTCAAAAGACGTCGAGTCGGGTTTCAGGGTCCAGAAACATGACGGTTCCAGGCAGTGGCCGAGCCACGGGGGGAATGGGGGGACTAGTCCCCCTCCCCACTTTTTCAGAAAATCGGTCCTTTAGATTCTTGCAAACCTGATGAGAAAACTTCGGGGGGGGAGGCGTAAAGGAGGGAGTTGGGATATGGGTATATCGTTATCTAGATCGTCACATTTAAATGACATTTCTTGGGAGATAAGAGTTGTATCCTTCGAAAGAAAATGTTCCAATCACGGGAAAAGGGCGTGGTCCAAAAGGGCGCGGTCCCTGACACACCTTTTGCCCCCCCCCCATTCATCCCAGGCTGGAGTCGCCACTGGTTCCAGGGCTGTGAGCTGGAAGAAGGTTTTTCAACGACGCAGTAGTTTTGAGGAAGGCCATGTATAACCTCACAAGCCGGGTGTCACAAGAGAATTTGTGAAGTAGAATCACTTTTCTCTTAAAGCCAGAAAAGAAATGATTTTTAACTAACTGTATATTGTATGTTTAGAATCAGATATTCAGATTGTGTACTGCTGTCAAGAGGATGCCCTCTTCTATATTTTTTTTCGATTAAAAGTGTGATTGGCTTGAGATCTATACTAAGACAAATCTTTTATAAATATTTCGAGTAGGAAAACCATCAAATGCCACAGACCTTGCATTTTCTATGACCTCTTTCGTTTTAATTGAAGCTTCAAGGGATACTGCTCTAATGGTTAAGCTTGGAAAGATAAAATTAGTCATCATGAAGATGGCAAAAGAAGATTAAGAAGATTATAAAATGTATCAGAAGATTACTTGTTTTTCTTAAGCGATTGCATCTCAATAATTCAAAATTGATCCTCCTTATTACTCTTCGCCTTATTACTCTTCTTCTTGATACCCAAAATTCGTACTCAGCAAAGTTGCACAGCAGAAAAAAGACCAACAAAATTATCTTCAGCACATCCATTTTAACTAGAAATTAAAGATAAACTGTATTAAGTATGCCATTGATAATAGTAGAGAAAAAATGTGACACCAAAGTATACATCATCTTAAACTCACAGATCCCCTTTCTAGAAGAGAAAGGAAAAAGATTCGAAGACCTGGTTTCAAGTGAATATCGTGTCTAGCCCGAAGGTAATTTATAGAATGTCAAAATCCACACTCAGTACCAAAAGAAAAGGAAATCGATTTTAGGCGATTGCCTAGCTTTTGCCAAGCTATGATTTGATTAGCTATGCATCTACATTGTCGAATATCACTATTGTCTTTTCACAAATCTCTTTAACACAATAAATTAACTTCGAAAATGCTAATAAGATTCATTTATAAACAGGTTTTCTACTTAGAGATACTCCTATTTTTCCTTTATATGTTTATGGTTTGTCATTGCTTCGTTTGCTTAGCTCTAAATGCCGGTTCGCATGCGTTAACGCACACTATTAGACTTTTTACAGCATAAACAGAGCATTTTAGAGGCTTAAAGAAACTTTGGTATCGCAATAAATTATTGCAGACCTTGGCTACAGTCCATAGAAAAACCCAAGTAGAATTTAGAGAAGACAAGATTGACAGGGATGTTTTTTTGTAGGAAAACCTGTGCCAAGAATTAAATGACCTTCAAACAAATATATTGGAGAAATCTAACAGATAGCGAGAAAGAGAAATCATCACATTGTAGAATGTCTGACCTCCAACGTAATTGATGTTCGTAAAATCTTCAAGAAAATGAAAAAAGAAGCTTTCTTTTTGTTAAGTCCTCATATATGTTTGATAGAATTATAATTCACCCAAAAAGGATAACTGCAAAGAACAGCCCTAGCAATGACTTCCTCTTTGACCACTTGTATGTCTAAAAGATCCCTCATTCACCTTTGGCAAAAAGTAGCCATGGCAGACAAAGTTATTCCAATTGAACTCCCTTTTCAAATAATATATAATTGTTCATTATATTGGTTGTTTATTCTGAATTTTTGCTGAAGCTAACTTACAAAAAGCCGGTACTGGGGTGTGAGGTCGGCAAAAAATTGACAAGGCTCTGGAAATGAAATTTCCAAGCCCTTTCTGTAAGTGAGGTCTTTATATTATCCATAAATTCAAAAGCTCGTGAAAGATAAAAAATTTATTCAAGTCTTCCTTAATTACAGTATCATACAAAACTCAAAATCGCAAAACATTTACCTGGATTGATTTTGTTCAGCTATACATGCGAGCCAGGTCCTGCGGCTGTTACACCAATAAAGAAGCTAATACTTGTTAAGTTACCTATAACATGGCGAAAGCCTGTACAATACAGCTTGTTTACTCTAATGATTGCGTTCAGAAAGATATATTCCCAACGTTCTATCACCTGTACAAACAAACAAAAACATTTGAGATATCAGTTCAAATATTGATTAAAACTAAAGTTCTTCAGGATTATGTTTTGAATGAGCCTAGGGAATCTTATTGCGCTACATAATATTTTTTCTTATTAAATGTACCTGCAAGATATCTGATTGCTAAAATCTTTATTTGAAATAGTACAGAGGAGCGGAAGCATATCACATCAAAACCTTCATCAAAAAAATTATATGATGTCTTTCATTTATTATTCCAAGATTAAAATTTTCAATGAAAAGACCGATACTAGATAATTACAAACCGAATATAGACAAAGAAAATTAATAATCAAGTCAAGGTCCCTTAACGTGTAACTGATTACGCTCTCTCTGGATAATTCAATATACCTAACGCCATTATTGATCGCTGTTCGTATAAACATTCCAGTTCATCCATCGAAGAAGAACGTACTTTTTCGAGAGACAGAACATTTTTGTGGGTCTTGTTTAAACGTGCAAATAGAATTTGCAGCTTCAAAGATCCTACATGAGCCTAAATTTTTTCAAGGTGCTCTTTGATAATGAATTAGGTTTGTAATGCCTGGCAATAATGTTCTAACGCCACAAAAAACCTTTTTAAGAACTTTTCGATTTTGACCACTTAGCATAAAAGAACTCTATAATATACGACTAAATATGCAAAACGAGTCAAAAACCGGGTGAGAAATGGCCAATTAGATATGTGAAGTTTGCTAACGGAATAGCTACTGTTAACTTGGCTTTGTTCATAACATTGATGGAAACTTGAACAGAGATAAAATAACAGAGGTTTGACAGGGAAAGAGCTAGTGCTCATGTGGCAATATCTCTGCCAATTCGTAACACTTTTAAATGATTTGTAATTTTTAGAGATATTTCACAATGCTCTTTCAGGTTAGTGGATCAAAATTCAAATTTTTTTAGGAATGATTTTTGTGACCTCATAATTTAAAAATTCTATAGGGCTATCATGTGACAATGGATGATTCCAGAAAAAATGTACTTTCAAAAAAGCACCTTATGAGGCAAACAGATGGACACTTGAACCTGAAACCAGAAGGCTACGAGCAAGTGGATTTGCCGTGTGATTTGTTCTATCCATCTGTGGAAAGAAGCTTGCAGAAGAAGGTGATAGCAGATACCAGTGCGGCTTTGTGAAATGGCGGCAAAATTTCACCTCTATAGAGCTGGCAAAAATGCACCTCGAGATAACTGGCCGCAAAAGGTTGGTACTGAAGAGTGAAGGGCGTCACAGAGTGAAGCAGCAAATTAGGAAGATGAAGTAGCAGTAATCTTCTCTTATGGATATTGCCATCTTTTTTAAGCAGCCATTCACAGAAACTGACTACTTAAACGAAGAGTATAACACGACTTTTGCTGCTTATACCTAATCCTTTCTTTGAATATAACATCATACAAAACGTACTAGAAAATCGAAAATTGTTCATCAAGCCAGTTTCTGGTTGGAACAAAGAACGGCTTTTTACATTCTATTTCCATAGCTTTTAGTTTGATATCGGTGGATGTCCGAGGAAGGGGGAGGAGCTCTGAATACGGACAATGCCGGACAAAAGGGGGGAGGGGAGTCAAAAATTCATCTTTTTGCTGGATGTCCTTTGTAGATGGCCCCTAATGGAAATTTATCCCCTAGCTGTAGGCGTTTTAATGCACCTGCTGTATTTTCAACAAAGAAATTTTCTTTGATTGATTCAAGCAAGACAATGATAATAGCTAAATCCAAAGTAAATCTGCTTTGTTATGCTATTCGCGGCATTTTTACTCCGTAACCAGGAATATGACTTGCGTAAGAAAATACTAATGTGTTGTTGCATATGCTATTCAATTCCGCGTCTGAGAAGCAACGAAATAAAAGCAGTGAGATCAAGTTCCTAAAGTTATTTGATGTTGCGCAGTGGCACAGAAACCAGGGGAAAGTCTCGATTTTTCTGTCAACAAATCCTTTACCCCCTAGATATGAAATCCGCTCCTCTTTTTCGGAAAAGTGTCTCTTCTGTATGTCCTAATAGTGCACGATTCTATTTTCACCGTCCCCCATATTTGAATCGTTCATACAACCTGGCTCGCACCACCTCTGAACCTTTTCAGTAAAGAATAGCATTTGGTTATTACGCTCTTTCAATCTGTAGTGTCTGCACAAAATTGCACAATGATTTCCACTTTTCGAAGATAAATATTATTGTATGCTGGAGGTGCCCTAAAATCAAACTACACTCCTTAAATTCGTATGCATCAATCTTCTATTGTAAAGTATGGCACAATAATTACCTTAACATAGAGGTTTTGCATCATTCCTTTATAATGTGGTTTTGCATCATTCCTTTATAATTCAAAAATCGCTTATTTCGAAAAAAAGATGAAATTCTGACTTTATTGTTACTTGAGACATTTTTTTCATTTCAATCCCTACAGAGTGGAAGCAGAAGCGAATTTTAGAAGCTAGGACTGGGGGCAGCGATGCTGGAACAAGGGGAGAGAGGGGGCAGCTGTTACCCTGTACCCGTGGCAGAAAGTGCCTTTTTGTTCGCATCATCATGGAATTCTAGGGTTCAGCGAGTAGAGAATGCCTCATGCCCACCCTTCACATAGGTTTCTTACATTTTTCACATGCTTATCAAAGCTTTGAATACCATGACATTGTGACTAGACGAAAAATCTTTCTCACAACAGGGCTCGATTTTCTACTGGAACAGGCCTGGTTCATGGTAGTCACATTACATCGATGTATTCAATTCATTCAAAATCCTATCTCTAGAGATATCATTCTCGAGACTGCAAAGAGAAAAAATAAATACATTACCCACACTTTGCGAATAACCACTCTCTGTTTGTCGTGTTTGATTGACAAAGCAGCTGAACTTAGACAATGTCCATTACACTCAAACTGACCAAACACATCGATAATAAAGTATGCGATTATAAAAAAAATATTTTTTTAGTGTTAGTGTTACAATAGTAAGGCTGCTAAAAGAAGCTAAAATAACGCAATCATAACGATTAACAGTCATAAGCTGAACAAGCACATTAATTTACAAAAGCAAATGGTTGACTAGCATTTTGAATTCATGGTTGACAAATAAATTGTGGATGATTGTTACTGGTCAGGAAGAGATTTCCAAATGTTGGGCCTAAGATTTGATGCCATATTTGCTAGTTTTGGCTTTAAGAATACTCCACTAGCTTACAGATCCAGCCTGACCCGACTAGTACCACCTGGCAGGGTTCCCTAGCTCAGGGGTACGAGCGATGGACAACGGCTAACTCGGCGGGAGACCGGCAAGGAGGGCGGATGAGCTACGACTCCAGGGGTCAACGGCTTCGGGCGAAAGAACTCCTGGAAAGAGTGATGCTGTCCCTTTAAAAACACTGTAGAGGTGGTTCTGGGGGCCTATCTCTACTATTAGCCCCTTAGTTTTATCTATGACCATGACAACAAACCAAAACTCAGATTTTGGGATAGTTGGAGGGTCATGGTAGCCAGGGGCGTTACTTGGCCAATATTGGGGGGGGGGGTGAAAAGGGTTTCTGCCCTGCGAAAATGAGTGGTGCCCTGCAGACCTCGTAGCAAAGGTTTGTCTATAGGTTACTAGTGAAAGCTTCACAAGTGTAAATTTGTCTTTAGCAAGAACAAACTTCTAAGCAATAAAAACAAACTTGAAACTTCATTGCCTATGAAATATCTACTTTTTTACGTGAGCGTAAATAAAATGTCAAATTTGATTTTCCTTTGTAATAAAGCTTGTATTTCATGGCATATCAAGTTTAGTGAGGTAGGAGGACACACCATGGTTGGGTCCGACGTAAAGAAAATTTTTGAAATTATACTTTGTAAAAGGGCTAAAAAGCATCTCCCAGACTAAAATTTAGCAAAATACTATACTGCTAAAAAACTAATTATTGTTTATTGGAAAAATAGGGAGTGGGGAAGTCATGCTAAAACTCCAGTGATGAACGTTGGGGAGGGAAAGAAACGGCAACCTTTCGTTTCAGGTTGCACATAGTTTTGAATGACAGGGGAAGATGTTGTTTTGATTAGGAGAATTTTATTTCCTGAACAGAAATGTGCAGTTTCTTGTCTCAAGAAGGCCATGTTTACACATTCAAAATGAAAACATTGCAATAATGCAGAAAGTGATTTACCGAATTAATGCAAATGAAAGAAAAATAATAAAAAAATATGCGTGAATAAGTTAGCAATTAGATCAAACAAAATCGGCATCTTAAACGTTTATTCTCTTTTTATTTCATACACTGTTAAAAAGTTATAGAAAAAATGATGAAAAAATTCTTATCTTGACCAAAGTGGGGGCCTTTAGCCCTCTACTCCCCCCAGTGGCGCCGTACCTGTCATGAAAATATTTTACAACTTAAATTAATTTGTGTGGACTCAACCTTGCCCTCATAAACTTATGCATCAATCATTTCATCCATTGGCTATGACTTTCGGTGGCGTTTCTGCGTGGCAATAAAGCTCTTCTTGGCGCCCTGCGAAATCTTTGACTGCCCTGCGAAATCGGCTATTTTTAAGATTGGGGGTGTCACACCCCCCACATCCCCCCGGTATTTTCGCCCCTGATGGTAGCCAACCTTTCTGGTAGAAGATGGTACCTGATGATGATGATGAGTACGGGACAGGAGTACCCCACTCTAAAAACATTGAAGGGGGCATTTTTCCAGATAAGGGCTAGATTCCATCTTGTTACGCATGTCAAATTGTAAACTTAGACCAAGTTTCACGCTTTATCACAATTTGCACGAATGCTGCCTTTCGCACCAGATTTACTCTTGCCCAGACCTCCTTGAAGCTCTTGCTAAGCGGTGAGGTAGATCGACCACCCCCGTCTGAAAATTGAAACACCAATCCAATCATGAACTTGAAATCTTGTCAGACCGCAAGCTGATTTTGTGAAGCATAGCAAGTCAAGTTTGCCTATTCAGTGCTCGTGTCGACTATAAATCATCCTAAAATAAACAGTTCTGAAAGCGCTAAACGTTCAGGAAGAATGAGTGAGAATTTGCAGAAAAAACCATCATGCTTTTCAAGCTGGTCTGCGTTTGTTGATGCGTGACCAGTTGTCGGAGGTATGAAATCTTTCGTTTGAGAATCCAATATATAATCCAAAGTTCTTGATGTCTATTGATACTGTTTATGTTAGCTACCTTATCAAATATTACTCTTAGTCCTTTAAAACGCAAATGCACCCCATGCACCTGATGCTCTTCAACTGTATCTATTTTCGTCATTGCAAGAGTGCAGTTTTTCTTGTATTTTCTTGGTGCTGCTTCCTGAACCCTTTCAAGAGGATCTAACTCTTCAAGAATATAATTCATAACTATCGCGTTTATGAGAATTGAAAAAAGAGAATCATACATTTGTTACCATGAATTGGGACCTGATTATTAACAAAGAGATGCATTATAACTTATCAAACTCAATATCCAATGCCACCGTTAGACGTTGCTAAGGCCTAGACGTTTTTAAAAATTTGTAAATATGTATTTAGAAGAATATCATTGTCATACTTTACT